TCATATTGGAATTATATTAGATTTGACCGGTATTTCAAACAAATATGTGATGACAAATTTATTGTACTTTAAAAAAGCAGAATGTTTTGGGATTTCCGAGCTGTCTGCATTTAATCATTTTATAATTGTTACTGCATTTGTAACCCTCTACAAATAAAATAAACATTATCTGTAATGCTGATCCAGGTGGATTTAGTCACATTTTCTATGCTTTAAATATGTATGTATCACTACCTGCAATAGCAATATCGTGATACACTGACAGACACATGCACAGAAAAATACCAGATATTGGTGTCGGCACATATTCTCTATATCAGTGCATCCCTAGTAAAATACATTCTGCATTTTCCAGAGGACAAAAATTTAGAACAGACAGAGATGAGTCTCGAAACTGGAAATGCAAATATACATACAGCAGGAATGTCCTTAGTAAAGCCAAATCAATTTCGTTAGAAAAACATCATGTTTGACTGTACAAACATACCACTAAAAGGTTAGATCTGATTTCGTACACTCAGTCTTAGATAAGAAAGAGTGTTCTCTTCAGCTCAGCTTCAGCACAGCCTGGAAAAACACTAAGTTGATTTCAGCCTCGGTAAAGTAAGTTTGCATTCACTGCAGTGCTGAATGACAAATGCATATTTATCTTTTACTTCTACAGTCGGCCCTTCCCTAACTTAATTGTCTACAGCCTGGACACAATTCTCACTCCAGGCCTATTTTTGTTTCAGGTCTGTGAGTGACTACAACTGACTGGCAAACATGGCAGACATCCTTCCTTTTCACCTATACTTAACAGCAAAAAAACAAGAAGAGGGAGAAACTAACAGGGCATTGCACCATTTATAGCCCTATTTAATAATAGTAGGGATGCACAACGATATAGGAATCATATCAGCATTAGCAGATGCTAAAGCAGACGCTTTGCTTAAAAATATATATCAGCATCGAAAAACAAATGTTTAGATTCCAACAATATTTTCACTTATTTATTGAACTACAAAATAGCAGAAAATATCCGCATTTTATTCATTTTGCTGCATTTTTAAACATCTACAAGTGTTTCTTTGCAATACTAGTTCATTCGGATCTAGTTCCAATTCCTGCAGTTTACAAATGTTTATGTATTGGTATCATTATGTACATATCAGCAGATATGTACATAAAAAATTTCAGACATTGTCATCAGCTCACAATTACCATTTGAGTGGTTTCCCTTAATAACAGTGTGCGAACTGGCTTGGACCTACATTGCTGAACTTCCAAAAATTAAGTTGCATGGAATTAAATGTTTTGCATTCACTGACACTGACTGCACATACTTTCATGTAGGGATCAGAAATAAACATTCCAAAATATTCTTAATAAAACCAGCCAAGTAAAAGGACTTGAAATCAAAGGAAATTAACATACAGACGAAGACATCCTTTCACTTTCACTGCAGTAACCTGAACAATCTGATTGTATGTGTAGACGGTGCAGGATATTTTGCTTTCCTTCCCTCTCCCTGAGAGATTCTCTGCTATCCCCGCAGCCCTCTCATGCATACAGATCACATTGTGCCTCGCTGCCTCACACATACACACACTCACACTGTGGAAAGTTTTCAGCGTTCAGCTTTCCCCAGGCCCGTCGCAGGGGTTAACTCTCAGCTTCCGCTAAGCAGCTGGCAGCTTGCCAGACTGAGGGATTCTGGGAAAAGGCAAGGCTTGCCAAGTACAAACTGCCAACATTAAGCAGGCCTGACAGCCCCTCTCCTCCTCCAAACCTGGCAGCCGTTCAAAGTGCTCTTTCATTTGAGACACTGGCGGGTAGCCAAATGCATGCAGATTTACTTTACCTATTCTCAGATGGAGCCGATAGAGGCCGCCTGCCGTTGCCATGGGGACCAGAGGCTGCTGGAGCGGCTTTGTGAGTTACTGCCTCCCTTGGGCTCCTTATATGTGCGTATCTAGTGCAGACTGCTCAGTAAGCTGCATATGTTTGATTTTCACTCACACTGCCTGTCGTTCTTTTTTTTCCTTTCTAAATTGTGTTAGAAAGGATTTAACCCTTCACTTCGTGCTGAGGCTCAATCGAAGCAGGCAGCCGCTTTCTCATGGATGTCCCTGTAGTAACACATAAAAGCCTTACTTTGGCTCACATGTTTAAAATAGGAACAACAATTACAAAAAGATGTAATGCAAAACTACTTCAAACAATTGGTACTCACACTCAAATGCATATAATGGTTGTCAAATATGTTTCAAAAACATACTAGACGTCATGATGAACTGAAATAAAGTCCTGGACAGGCTGTGGAATGATTACAGAACCATTCACACCGTTCAAAAACTCCTGTGCTGACTGCTTCTCAAAATAAGGTTAAAAAAGCAAGCTAGTCTATGCACGCAGTTGAAATGCCTCAGTAAACACCCTCTGTTGAACCACATGGACTACATGTTCATCTATCATATGCTTACCTGAAGCCAGGTCATAAAATACTATTTGCGATAAGGCATGGATGAATATGTCAAAACAGCACAGGAAAGGCTTGGAACTGAACCTAAACACATGTTCATAATAATAGGTAACAACTCTTACGGCACAACACACCCGTCAAGGAGGGACGGGCAGCAACATCAGTTTTCTGCTTCATGTCATGTCGTAACACCCTAACAAAGCTGTGGTTTGGACACAAATGCACTCATGAAACTATTATATTCAGGAATAATTTGCAGTTAGCTCATCTCTCCCAAAGCCCTATTATGTCCCACTGTCTTATATAATTTCACTTGCTGTTTACAGGGGTAAACTAATACTACCCACTGGTACCAGATTTAGAGCTGATGTACCAAAATGAAAACTCTTGGTCCAAACATAAAAAGACATTCAGGACGCACTGGGCCACAATTCAAAAACAAAAACTGAAAAAAGCTGACAATAAATAAATATGAAATAAACTTACTAAAAGTATTACAATATGTATCATGAAATCTACGTCTTCAACAGCAGGAAACAGTTCGTCATCAAAGACAATAAATTCCATTATTTATTTTAGTTATGCTTTGCACTTCAGCATTGGCGTTTGTGAATGTTTTGGTCACTTCAAAAACTCTGGCTACAGATGGCATTGGCGTGCTCGCAGGGACTTTCCTGTCTGCTCCTGTTGTTTTTGCTGTACTATGTATACAGAGTGGGATGTCATGTTTTTGAGTTGTATCAAACCTGTAATGGGGAAGTTCTGGAGCGTTGTACGTCCTCTTAAAACTTAGCATGAACAGTGATTACAAATCACTTGTCTAAAGTCCTTTAAAGAAACAATAATATTGTTCCACGTTTTCACTGTTGATCTGCTGCGGCTTAAACTACAGTTATGTAAAGAAGTAAATACACCCCATGAAAAGTTTAGACTTTTTCAGCACATTTGGACATACAGATATCTGGTCTTCATTTAAATAATGTTGATAGATAAAGGTGGCATAATCTATCAAGTGACCTAAAATGAACATTTTTGTCATCCTTTATGTAACTGAAATACACAGAAATGCAATTTCCTTATTTGGGAAAAAGTATGTACACCATTAGGGTTTATCTTGAAGGAACCTGTCTTATTTACACCTGAGATATCTGGTCCGGTTTGTTTTTTGTTATTGGAGTTTGGAGTATCATCCTGGCCTTCAGATGAGGCCTTCAGAAAGAAGGTTGTAGATGCCTATGAATCTGGGAAGGGGTTTGAGAAGTGTTTCCAAAATATTAGAAATCAATCATTCCACTGTCCAAAAGATCATCTACAAGTGGAGAAGATTTAAAACCACTGCCAACATGTCCAGGACATGCCGCCCCAGCAAATTTAACCCAGGAGTGGACTGTAAGACGCTAAAAGAAGTCTTTAAAACACCCAAAAATTTAATCACAGGATCTGTTAGTAGCTTATGCCACTGTAGATGTCAAAGTGCATGCATCTACCATAAGAAAAGAGACTACACAAACTTCACCTACAAGGGAGATGTGCCAGGAGGAAGCATTTGTTGTCTAAAAACAGCATCAGGGCAAAACCAAAGTTTGCTAATCAATATCTGGGTGAGGGTCAGGCTTTCTGAAAACAATGTGCTATAAAGGGACAAGCCAAAGATTGAGTTGTTTGGCCACAGTACCAGAAGCCATCTTTAGCGAAAACCAAAGACTGCATTTGATCAGAAGAACCTCATACCAACTGTAAAGCATGGTGGTAAAAATGTTATGGTTTGGTGCTGCTTTGCTGCCTCAGGCCCTGACCAACTTGCATCATAGAACCATGAATTCTTTCATACCACAGAGTGCTGGTGGAGAATGAGGCCATCTGCAAAAAAGTTACTGTAGCTGAAGGAGTGGACCTTCCCACAGGATAAAGAGCCCAAACATACAAATAAATCCAACAAGGAATGGCTCAAAAGGGAGAAATTAAGGGTTGTGGAATGGCCTAGGCAAATCCCTCAAACGCTGCACAGTTGAAATAATTCTGCATGGAGGACTGGGCAAAAATTTCTCCCAGTAGATGCCAGAAACTGGTAGACAGTTATAGGAAACGCCTAGATAGTTTCTGCCAAAGGGGACAGTACCAGTTACTAAAGTCAGGAATGTACTTACTTTTTAAACGTAAAAAAGCCTTCAAATATAATGTCTAGCTTTATAACTTCATAACTTTGAATCTAATCTGGAAAAAGCATATTAAAACATGTTAGCTACAATGAGCTCAGCAGCTGGAAATTGAGAACTTGAGAATGAAAAACTCTGCAACAACTGCAAAACTCTGACCACACTTAAATAAAACAAAACACTCCAGATTGCTAAGTTGGGCAATAGGAACATTCAAAAATATGAGAAAACAAGCAGATATGTTGAAGAAAGGAAATACCTCATATAACATCTCGACATAAACTATGTCTCAATAAAAGGAATGTACCATAGTCATATACAGTATACAATGAAATACAGCACATCAAGTTCTGTATGATTTTCTCCAGATTTATCATTACCTGGATTGCTCTGGTTGGCTGTCATTGACTGTTTCTATGGCAACCCTCCTTACCCCAACAGACTGTGCTGGGCATCTCGTGGGAGATCTCGGGTTGTTAGGGATCTGTTCCAGCAGCCTGCCATTTCCTGCAGAGGGAAAAAGACATGGGTCCAATCAGCTCCAGCAGCAGACACCTGCCTCACTCAGAATTCTACTGCTCTGTCTGAGCAAACACTCACTGCTTCATCAGGGCTCTGGGATTTACACTCTGACAAAACATGCTACACTTTGACATCGATCATGGGTTTCAGCAATCAGACCACACGCGTCAATCACTTGCACAATCTGCTGTACATCTGGCTTGAGCGATTGTGAGTAAGGCAGCGAAGTGTGCTTTTATTGTTATTCTTACATGCTGCCAGTAAATGACTGTAAATGGAAAAGACCTCATTCTGTCGCTGGAGGAAAAAAAACTCATCACACAGATGTTTGTCAAAGCAAGGCAAAAAATATCCCTGGTCAGTTTCCAGAGCCCATTAGAAACCTAAGAGATTTGTGAGAGGAATGTTTCCCCCCGCGGCACTGTGGAATGCAGACAAAAGGAAACAAAGCTATATAAATATACGGGACAAGGATTTCTCGCTCCTCCAAAAACAACATTATCCCTGGCTGCCGAGGAGATCCTGACCATAATCATTTCCTCAAGGTCAAAAGGTCACGTCAAAAGGGGACTCCTCCTACTAAAACAACAGCGTCGTGCCAGGCTCTTCCACCACACCTTGCCGTCTGACAATCAGCAAGGCCAGACAAGGAAAAGCCAGAGAGGAAACCGGAGGCCTGTAAGCTTAATGATGAACATAGCTTAAAAATGAGTGGAACAGGTCGCGCTATTCTACTAATAACAACAGCTCTCTGATTCTTAGGACATCTGTACTGCGCTTCCTTGAAAAGACTGATTTGTCAGGTTAAAGAAAGAAAGGGAATGACCCCCATTACTGCACAGTGAATTCATCACTGCTTGTTTAGGACAACTGTACACCGGTATACTGAAACTGCTAGGAGTGGACAGCAGTGGTAGCAATGTTATCAAAAATCCTGGCAAAATGTTCTTTTTATGCAGGAAATGAGAAATCAATGTGAGAATAAAACCCAAGGAACTATCATTTTGGTTGGTTGGTTGGTTTGAATAATAAAAACATCTTCATTTCCACCTCTCACACACAATCTGAGTGTTATACTGCGACAGCAACTCCCTCTGCTCCATGGCTTTGTGCGACAGTTGCTGTTGTTACCACACATATTCCAGTCCTCTTTCCCAGCTGCTGGGTGACGTCAAACTCATACAGTGTTTACAGCTGCAAAACATCAGCTGGAATGTGCAGACCCATAGCAACAGCAAGAGATCGTCTTTTAAACCGACTTTACAATTATTCCAAACACAGACAGGCAAACAATAGACAGCGTTTAGCACAAATCTGGCACCTCCCCAAGGGGCGGAAGCTCATAGCAGGACCGCAGGGTTGGATGTATTATTGCAGTCTGTCAGGGGCACAATGCACTGACAAAAACAGACTCCACTCTACAACTAGAGGAAACATGGCTGAATATGGTCGGGTTGTGTGCAGTCCCAACACATTATAGTTTAAAGCAGGGAAAAGACACATAACAGACAAAACTAATCCAATACAAAATTTTTCCACAACTGCTCATAAGTAACCAGCTGCTTAGTGCTAGGGAATAATGATAAAATTCAATATTGCTATATTTTTCCAAATATATCACAGTATTTGAAGAAGATTGTATCAATAAAGTTAATAAATCCAAGCTTCCTGAGTAGTGTAAGTAAGGTCTTATAAACCTGACATTGTTTGTACTGTTTATTGTTTTGAACTGTTCCGCTTCTCTTAAAGTCATGAATCAAGGCAATTATAACATGTTTTCTGATGAACCATGACATTTTCAGAGTGAAACACAGTATCAGGGAGGGTCCCAAAGTTAGCTGAGCATTTCCGCTCAATGATAGAAGAGGATGGTGGGAGGGGGATGTGAAATATGATATTATTGGTTAGTGTTATTTTTCCCCACCTTTGGTGCATGGTGATGTAATCACTTTTTTAAAGCAGGCAAAAATCACCGCATTTTGTCTGTTAAATGGCATAGTATGATGAATTATGCTTGACATAAACTAACAAGGCAAAAAAACATCAATTTTGATTCCAGCCTGATTTTAAAACACCAAAGAGAAATTTACACTTTATTGTAAAACATAAACCTGACAGACACCAGGGGCCGTATTACAGAAACTTTCCATCTTTTTGTCTTAAAATCTGAAAGGAAAGGATAAGATTTTTTTACAAATTCGTATTACAGATGCAAATCTTATCTCTATTTAGGAATCTTCTATCTTGCGGCAACGAAGTCGACAATCGATTGTCAAACCTGTTACCTAGCAACCGACCATTTGCGCACAGCTAAAACGTAAACACGTAATCAAAATAATCGCGCTAGCTAGCGTTAGTTAGCCTGACAGCTATTTACGGTTACTGATGTAAAAAGAATCAAACAAAAATAAAACGCGATAAACTTGAAGTTAAGATAATTGTGTCAGCGCTTTCTTCTGTTTATCAAAGCGTCGTCGCCGCTCTCCAGTTTCCCGAACGCTTTAGCTGACCGTGCTAACGTTATTAATCCTAATAAAACAGACACACGTTCAGCCCTGTCTCATTATTCACCACCATCGCTTTAATATTTTACCTGACGAGTTTCCATCAACATTAACATAGGTAATAAGAGGGGATGGTGATCGTGTCTGCAGTGTCTGGGATTTTTAAAACGCTCAAGTCAAAGTGCCGTTTTCAATGTAGATAAATGTCTATGATAAACGTCATCGTGCTAGTTGCAGTCAACCATGCTGCCCGTCACCGTATAAAACGATAGACGGTTAAAGAGAAGTTAAGACACCTCTGGGTTTGTCTTAAAGTTAGGACAGAATTTAGTTAAAATTTTGTCTAGTTAGGATGTTTCTGTATTACTGTTTTCTTATCTGGAGTTAGAATAAGATTATGAACTTAAGAACTGTTGTTCTGTCCTAAACTTGGTCACCATGACAAATTCAGTTAGGACTGAACAGATATCAGAGTTAAGAAACTTCTGTAATATGGCCCCAGACTTCCATACAAGAAACATATTTAGTTATTTTGAACAGTATCTTTTAAACATTTTCTATCACCTAGTAAATGGCATGCATAGCACTTATGTAAGCTTTTGTCATCTATACATACCACCAAAATCATAACTAAATGTTGTTGTGTGACACCAGTACAAGTTTACCAGTATGGACGATCGATCACACATCACTACAGATGCACAAGGCGCATGATCCTACGGGGGTGAAAAGACTTTTTGTACTCCACTACTACGCAATGCATGGCATGCCACCCCCTCCTAGCATACCAGCAGTGCTAGAGGCCTTGGCAGGTAAGAGAACAGGCTAACAATAAAGTCTGCCATTAATTCCACAAAGGGCATCACAGTGGAGAGTAGACAGCCCCCCTGGCTCCTCCCAGGTGACATGGCAGCTGTGAATTAAAAAAAAGTGACGAGTCTTTCCACCCTTCACCCCAGTCCTTACATAGTGACACAGTGGCATGCAGTTTAGAAGAAAAAGGCCTTCACTTGTCAAATGCCTAAAATGCAGCACTTATTCACACTGAATGCTTCAAACTGTCTAAATACACTTGCTTTGACTAAAAGTTTGGATTAGACAATAATGAGGCAATGTTAAAAATATTCTGTGGTCTTAGACTTCGCAAAAGCGTATGTGTGTATTCAAAGTAGGAGGCAGATAAGTGAACTTAAACAGTTGCCAGATAATGAAAGATGGAGATATCTATCACAGATATTGCAACTTTGTATCTTTAGTCTTTTGGCTCCTGCTACAATCTGGCTGTAGTTCCGTAATGAGGATAGCTCAAATAAATCAGAAGAGGAGGACAAGTACAGTTTTATTTAACCCTGAGTTTATGACTGATTCACTTATCTCTTACACCTCTTATTGTGAGCTCAGCTTAGTAAGAATAATCAATCAATAATGCTGCTGTGGTAAAGGAGCAGTTCATTTTGCTACGGACAAACTGTCCTGCACTAGTTCAATATTTTAGCCTGTAAAAATGAAAACGCACTATTCTTAGAACACCAACAGTACTGTACAAAGCATGTGTTGCAGTACATAGAAACTAAATATAGATAAACTCGGTGGAATCTACTGGGCTTGGACCCTGATAATTAAAACAGTGAAGCATGTCTAATAATCCACCATCTCTGTTTTCCCGGATCATACATAAGCATCTTGATATTAAAAATATCCCAGAACCGCACAGCAGCTACTGTACGCCTGCCCCACCTCTCATACCCCCATGTGTAACTTCACACAGCATGGATTTAATGTGGCTTTTGATGATGTGCCTGAGAAACAAAAGGCAGCAGGACTAAAAATAGCCCATTCCCATAGAGAGAGCAGTCTGACAGCCGGGGACAGGGGGAGAGCGATCGAGCCGCAGAAATAGCAGGGTTGCCACGACAACCAGGCAGATGCACACCAGCGACAAAATGGAGTCACTAGTAACAGACATCTTAAGCTGGATTTCTCTCCTGTCCTGACACGTGCAAGCACCAAAACTGACCAATGACAGCCAGTTCCCACAATGCTCTTAAAATACTATACCCCAGTCTTGTTATAACAGCAGCATACAGTAAATGTGACCAATGATTCCAAATGTGTCCCCATTCTGTTGAGAGCTATTGTATTCTTATACACACATATTTGCAATCACAAAAATATAGGTGCACTAAACATTTTTGAGGTTGGGGATGAAATTCTGCAGCCTTAGAATTACACAATGATAGCAGTTCTCTGTAAAATTATTCATACACCATTTGATATTTTGTAAGAGGTGACAAAACACCAAAAATTGTCTCATGTATCCCCACCATCTACAAGAAAAGAGTGCTTGCAGATTTAAAGCAAAGTGGAAAAATTCTAAATGACACTGAATTCACTTCATTTAAGTGAAGACATTATGTTATTTAAGGACACAACACAGTGCACGGAAATGTGTTTAATTAGCTCTCTGCTCACCACACATATACATCTGTTATGGAGGGCTGAAGAGAAACAGAGCTGCTTCTGGGAAAGCAGTCCCATGCTAGTGTGGGAGAGTGAAGGCAGCAGATTAGATTCAGTGGGGAAAACTGTTCCAGCCTTCAGACAGACAAGCATGTGGGAGAAGCAACCAATGACTTCTGCCCCCCTGAGCATGCAGCTTGCGCTGTAATTACCTCCATACTGGTAAGAAGTGCAAAAGAAGAAGCTAGTGAGTGGAGGAGTGGACGCGTAATACAATAATAAGCCCAAAAACTGCCAGCACGCTGCCATGAATCCTTTACCAGCCTGACGACCGACATCAGCAAGAGCATGCTAAGGTTCGGCACTGAGAGTCTGCTATGGCTTTGGGCTTCAGAGCCTATTGTGTGAAGCTGATAGCATACATTCAACGTCTCCTGGTCAACCTGCAGTAGCACATCTCAAGCTTTTCGAGCAAGCACTCAAGCCTTTGAAAAGAACCTGATGTGAAGCAAAACAGCATGGCTGAGATGAACTGCACCAACTGTCCGTATTTACACAGCTGCTCAGCACCAACCCCTTGTTCAACACAAACGTTTTACCCTTAATTAGTTTTTGCTGCAGAAGATGCTACTCACCTTCAATCAAAAAGAGCTGTTCCGTAATGGTGCAGCGTATAAAAGAGGAGCTTTGGTGGGTTAATGATCAATTTGTAGTGCATTGAAGAACAGGTTTTCCTATTCTAAAAATTACTGCCTTACTGGCAGGATACAAGTACAGGTGTTTGGAAATCCTGTGACTCAAGAACCAATGAAGAACAACACTTAACATAAATATTCTTAACCAGAATGATCCATGGCAAGCAAGTTTTCATTATAGAAAGCATATGTAAATATCCATGCTTTGCCTGGTTTAAAACTACATGCATCTAAAGAAAACAATCAATATACATTTTTCAAAAACATGCTCAGAAAAAGAGCTTTGAGAATAATGAAATATAAAAATAATAATAATAATAAAATAATAATAAAGGTGTATTCATTATATATGCTTTAGCAGTCTTTATAATACTATAGTATAGTACGTCATGCAAAAATCCTGAAATCTTAGAAGAAAGCATTTATATTTCACAGATGTAACAGTATACACTGTTCCCAGACAGTGCTCAAGATACTAAAATGTGTATATGTATTTATATTATGAATGATCATTTTCTCTGCATGCTCAACAATACAGTGCAATCAATAGCAAAAGCAAAAGTCCTCCATGTTTACCATGGCTTATTCTTGGGCCAGAACTTCAAAATGATGCTACTGCCATCAAGTGGTTTACGTGTGAACACCATTTTACTACTGCACAGGAACTCAAAGCTGGTCTATACACTACCACTGTTTCACTATGATTAAGTCATGTAATTGACAGCATATGACGTTATTACGACAGTCATAAGTTAGTCAAGAAGCTAATGTGGTAGTTTTACAGATTTGACAACTGCTTAACCACTTAATGCTACAACCAAACAAACAGACCAAACTGTCTAATACTGATTATACCAAGTAAGCATCTACTGCAGTATCTTCACTGTATTCTCAGTCTTTAATTACATACACTGAAGTATTTAAAATTGTTCTTATATTCATAGTAAACTGAAATTAGCAGTTTATGGAAATGTAACTAACCATAGTTTATCTGGGTGGCTTTTTGTGTCTTGCTTCTGCTCGTCTGGCTGCTCTGGGCTGCAGAATTCCAGTGGGTTGGCCTGGGGATGACCTTTCGGGGTGCAGGGGTCTCAAGAGGACTTTTTTCCCTTCTTGCTTGAGTCTCTCTGCTTTGGTCTTGGACAACTGGATGTTGGAAACAGCGAACAAAACAACAGTCAAGCTAACACTCTGACAAATGTCCCTTTCCCCAAGGCTTTATCTATTTAAACAAATCACAGAAAGACTTTGGTCTTATTAGAAGAGAAGACATACAGCACGTACACCACCCAACAAAATTTGTGGGAACCCTGTGGATTTTGAAATTGAGTATTGTTAGATTTTTACGGTTACCTTTCAATTAAATAAGAAAATGAACTACAAATGTTTATCCAGCTATTTAATGATTCTTTGGGGACATTTTGAAAGACTTAGTTTTCCTTCTTACTTTCTTTCCTTCATCCAAAGATAATATGCCTTCCCCACCACCCCACCTCTCTGGGGATATCTGTTAGTTTTAAAAAGTGGTGTATATATATATATATATATATATATATATATATATATATATATACACACGATCTCTATAAAATAGCATACAAGTACACATGTACAAAATAACAAGGCAATAAGGCATTAGACAGCGGAGAAAGAAAGAGCCACTCATTACAAGGCAGTAAACTTTTGGAGCATGTAGCGCTGGTACTAGAATAGCTGCAAGCATTGTAGCACAAATTAAAATACTGCAGCACTTATATATATTTCATATATAACACTAATTCTATTTCATATTCTAACTGTGAAAAAAACAGAAGCAGCACAAAAGAAGTTGAATTCTAAAGTTAATTTTGTGAAAAATACAGTAATTTTTTTCTTCACAACGAATCAGATTGGGACTAGGAACCCAGGCTTGCTGTCACAGATTTCAGTAAAGGAAGTGCAACAGTTTAGTACTTAAAGATAAGCTTCAATGTTATTTACTGTGTGAGTTTTAACTTAGACAGTTAATTCAATAAAGGCATATAGGCTTAAGCAGAGATGTCCAACTCTTTTCAAAGAGGGCCAGATTCGACAATGTCAAAATATCCGAAGACCGAAATATTACGTTTTCAAAATATCAGAAATACAACAGTGTAGAGCAATTAATCAAACCAGACGTCTTGCTGGTAATCCATTCTGAGAATTTGATGACGACCCCTTAAACACTTATAAATCTGCCACTACAAGTGTTACGGCGTGTGCATGTTCACAGTGGTCAAAGTGAAACATATCAGTGTGTAGAATCAGAGCTTTCTGTAAGTTACAGTGTTTCTTATCACTGTATGATAGATGCACAAGCCTTCTTGTACTGTTGGATTGCTCATTCAGAGCAATTTGGATCTGTAAGCACTTACAACAAATTGCTGGTTTGTTATTCAAAGTAACAATAAAACATGACTAATGTATTAAGTATATTCCTATTCAAGTATTTACTTGTTCAAAAACATTATTTGTGAGACAAACCAAATAAAAATATATAATTTTTTTTAGTTTGGTTTAGATCATGTTCTTTACATATCGAATTAATTTAACAACACCATTCAGAAATCACTTCATTAAACGAGAAGAGTAGAAGGCATAAATTCTTTCTGCCTCTTTTTGTTGGTCTTAAATGCTTAAATATTTACTGAACTACTGAATTTGCTCTGATGAGAAGCTGGTGTTGTGGTACCAAGGTAGCTTGAAATTTCTCTGCCCTCTCCTCCGCTCAATGTTTATTGTAATATCCTTGCCTTGTTTTAGGTCTATTGATACTAAATTCATTACAGTCTTTTGACATATGAGGAACACGCATTTGTTGTGGCTCTTAATGAAGAAGTATTTAAACTTCCACCTCAACAAAACCTCTAGTCCTCAATGTGAAGTTTGTGCGTTATGGCTGTAGTCTTCACTAAACTGAACACCACCACAAAGGTGAAAGAAAAAAATACAACAAATAGGCTACCGGACCACTTATAAAAACCTTTAAAACAGAAGCCACAGCCCAATTCAAATCTGTCTGCGGGCCGCCTTCAGCCAGGGGCCAGAATTTGGACACCTCTAAGCTAAAGAAAGCAAAGGTGGGGACTACAGAGTAAAGCAACTGTCTAAGCATTGTCCCCATCAATAATCTTATAAATGATATAAAAAATAAATGTTATATCTTCTATCATACCTGTAGGACCATCTCCAGCAGCAGTTTTGTCCACAGTGTGACGTGCACTAGAACATGGCCTTTGCAGTGACTCTGGCAGAATTATATCAAAGCGCTGGGTGGACTGTGAGGGTGGGTTGGTACGTGCTGTTACAGCACCCAGTGCAGAGCCCAGAAGACAATTCTGCCAGAGAGCACAGCAAAGAATTACTGACACTGCATAGAACTGAAGTAAAAAAAAACAAAAAAACACTGATTTACAGTACATGGCCTTTTTATATTCTAAATCATATGAAGTTTCAGTTGTTAGCAGGACAGATTTATTATGTTGTCAACAAATTGATAGCCTAACTAGTTAAATGAGGTGTACGTGGTGAGACAGAACTGTGTACCTGGAGCTCAAGCTGCTGGCCTTGGATTCTCTCCAGATGCTGAAGCCTCTGCGTGGTCAGTGCGGCCAGCTGCTCCTCCAGCTGGGTCATTCTGTCTGCGGCACTGCCTGCCCTGCTCTCTGGTGCCCTGTCCATTCTGCCCTCGCTCTCCTGGAGCCTTCGCAGTTCAGAGGCCACCTGAGCCACTCGAGCCTCCATGTCACTCTGAGCCTGTCAATCAAATATAACTCATGCACTGAGACTGCATAGGAGCAAGAAAAACAGCAGCCTGCTACTGTCTGCAGCAGGTCTGCATGATTAATCATAATGGACCATATGGCCTTTGCAATTATAAAGTAATCAAAGTCTCTAATTAGTGGTTTCCATGCAAACAGAAACACAAAGCAGTGTATTCAAAACAGTTACATCTTGGTAAGAAGCTTGCACAGTACCTTGATAAGTGGAGCTGTGGCTGCAATGGCAGCAGCTGTAATGGCTGCCACAGTCGCAGACCCAGCATCCCCTGACGGAAAAGCAGGGCTAGGCTGAAGCTCGGGAGCTTGCAGTTCAGTGGTCTGAAGTGTGCCTGCATCCAGAAACTGCACCTTCACCTCCCGCCTCACTGGTGCACTGTGGGATCTAAGGAGTCCATAGAAAATTCATTTTCACATTGCAGTCAGCATTTACAATATACTGCCAGTTTAAGTATAGCTACTTTGCCTCTACACACATTGTCCATTTTATCCAAAACACCTAACATAAAGGTGCACTTAGCAAGTTTATAAACACTGACTGTAGCCCATTTGTTGCTGCACAATATGTCAGCCACCACCTATCCTGTCCATTAATGGAGAAGTACCACCACAGGGCCACTGCTGACCAAATGGGTAAACCATTATCAGAACAGCAGTGACACCAGCATGAAATGGAGATTGTTACGAAACATAAAGCACACAGTATAAAGTTCAAAAGCCAGGGTCTGTTATGGCATGGGTAACTTGCATGTCTTGCATTATTTATGTAACTCACAATAACACTGAAAAATGCACATTTACACATCATACACATTTTGGAGCAACAAATCGTTGCTGTCGGAGCAAAACCTCGTATCTCCATTTTTCAGTTTTTGGCATAGTTTGAAAATGCCTGTTGCTCTTTACATTGTGCTTAATTTTTATGATGAATGGACCAAAAGAAAAGGCCCAAAACTACTTGAAAAGAAGTCTGGTTCTGCTGACTTACATTAGGCACATAAGTTTCTTCCTTCTCCTGTAAAGTTACCATTTTGGAGATACAAGGTTTTGTTCCAACAGCAGTGATATGCTGCCTTCCAGATGACGTCTTTTTCAATGGTAATGGTTATACATATTCTGCATGAGTTACAACAGCATGGCTGTATAATCAAAGAGTGTGGGTGCTAGACTGGCCTGACAGCAGTCCAGGCCTGTCTCCCACTGAAAATGTGTGGTGCTATATGAAGCATACTACATGACAACGAATGCCCTGTATGGTTGCACAGCTAAAGAGTGGAATAACAGAAAATTTGGGAAAATTTGCACTTTCAAAACTGGAGAGGTGATGTAACACAGTGGCAAACATGCTCCTGTTCCAACAGTAGCGTGTATTTACCAAAAAAAACAACAAGTTTATAAGCTGTAACATCAAATAACATATTTTCTGTTTAATTCAGGTCAAACAGAATATACTTATCACTGATTTCTGCTTTTCTTAGCATTTCACACTTTCTCCCAAGTTTTTTGGAAGTGAGGTTTGTGCACCAGCAAAGTAGGCGAGTCTAATAAAGCGTAGCTGAAATTTCGTGATTAGTGGTTAGGACCCTGTGACAATGTGAGCAAAGCTTACCTCTGCTTCAGTGCAGCTGCAACTGCCCCTCTCCCATCGGCAGAGTATCTTGATATTAATAAATCTCTGTCTGTGAAGTTTCAAAAAAAATTGTAAAATTCAAAACATGCAAAGTGTACTACGCTCACATCTCATTTAGGGTGACAAGAAAAGTACCTTTCTGTTCAGCATCCCTCATACGGTTCCCTGAGCTTTTCACCCTGACTTTACCTGCTCTAGGAATCTAAAAAAGAGCAATAACACTTAAGTAGCTTTTTATAAACCCAGCAAAAGTATGTGTTGTAAATTAGGTAGTTAACACGGCGTACATGTCTTTTCCTTGTAGCTGAATCTGGTGCAAGATGATCTTCTTCTTCTTCTTCTTCAAGTCCTACAAAAGAGGGACACTGTTTACTTTACTGAATAAATGTGCCCTCAAATTACAACTCGATTTCTCATACATCACACTACCTACCTCTGCTTAAAGACGAAGGCATATTTGCAGGAAGCACAGGTGGAACCACTCGCTCCATCAAACCACACTTAACATTAGAGGTTTGGATAAAACAACCACCATGAGTTGAGTCTGACAGTCTTCGAATATAAAGATTGACGTTGCAGCTACTTGATAAACCTGACACCTCTCCTTCACCATCACCTTCCTGTCCGTTTTTATCCAAAACAACTTTAGTCGAGCGAATTAAAACATCTGCCGCATCAGAGCTCGATGTGGAATCATCCAGGTTGATGTTTGGCAATACAGACGCGCCATAATCCATTACTAAGGAAACAGTAACAGCTACATAGATATTCTTTATCTATCCCGAATATAAACACCGAATGTCTATCGTAGCCTAAAAGATAGACTGTTCATTTAAAACCAAGTGGCCGCCATCTCACAAAAAAGGAACGTAACGTTAGCGTTAATTTACTCACTTCTTCTGTTGTTGGGTTGTTAACTCACATAAGCTAACTAGCTAAAGCTGCAATTGCTGGATTTGCTAATGTTATCTGGACATGACATTGTCATCAGCAAACGGTATTTACACACCTACCAGGCGACATTTCTAGCAATCTTCGGTAAAGGCTGTTTTGAATTTGCCGCCGCTTGTGTGGTAAGAGCTCAATACGGCTGCTGTGTAATAACGCCGATACTGTAAATCTCCTAACCGTTTGCTCACCTGAATAACGCTCAGGACTAACTCATTACAGCTAAAGCTGGCGGACTATTGTCGGTAAATGTTGTGCGGTAGCGGAAAGTGAGCTGAACCTGTACGTTACTGAATCCACAACAACTGTTACTGACAACAAAGTTGACAACAGATGTGAATTCAGAAACCGTACCGCTCAGAGTTCAAAAGGCTCTGTTGCACTGTGTTGGATTTCAAAATAAAAGTATCTAGCGATCAGGTGGAGCGTGAATTAAAGGGGAACTCCACCGATGTTTCAAAATGTCTGCATAATTAAATGGTTAACTGTCAACAAAATTAAATAATTAATTCTAAAAATCATTCAGAGTCAGAATTGTTCACAGTGGTGGTGATAGGAACCCGACATCTGAGAAGTTTAATGGCTCTAAAAGCTCCCTCACAGAAGGTTGTTACATGAAATGATCACAAATACGATGCCTGATGTCTAAGATATTATTTTACAGTGGTTTTGTGATTCAGGTTTTGGTCTAAAATTTGATCTAATTTTTTTCAGATTGACCATTATTTTATCATCATCAACGTGACGTATAAAAGCCTAAAAGATACGTGCATGTTCACTGGTGATTTTGGATGGTAAATAAATTGTATTTACTATATAAGCTATATTTGCATTGTAGACATCGCGACCCCCGGTTCCTATCACTACAACTGTAAAGAAATGTGAGTGGTTAAGTTTCTTCACTAATAAACCATTTCACATCAGACTACTCTGAATGACTTTGTTTACATCTTAATGATTGAATTACGCAGGATTTTTGAAAAATCAGTGCAATTCCCATTTAGTGAGGCTGGCGAGGAAACTCCTAACGAATGTAGTAAACTGTTTAATCAAGAAGATCCTGCGCTGTTGTCAATATTTGCGTCTCACCTCACATTTCAGGGATGTGGGATGTGTACATCAACATGTTGTGTATTCTATTACATTTTTATACTGCTGTGGTCAAAATTAACCTAAAAAATAATCATATTACACATTCCTCTTAAACAATAAGTCAGACCAACGTGACAAACTTTGGTTTGTTTCGTTTGGAAAATAGAAAAACACAATGAAGTTTCCATGAACGGGTTAAAATGTCCTCAGAGCAAACTGCTGTTTTAAAACTGAAATTAGCGGAATACAGATTACAGCTGCGTCCAGAACCTGCTGTACTACACATACCACACCAATAAATGGACTCCTACTGGTGGTGTACTATCTCTGACCTACTGTTTAGTAGCCTATGGTAGTGTGCGGTTTTGGACGCAGCCCACGTCATTATAGCCTTAAAAGGCATTCCAAACGTCACTTTCGAGATAACAAATGTTTTCGAGTATTAGTCGTATCTTTAGGATTACATGTACCCATTTACTCCCTAATAATCTTCATTTTGAGTTTCTTTTAAATTTTGCAACATACATGGTCGTTTTGAAAAATCCTGAAACATCGGTATCTTTTTGTGGCGAAAGTGCTGAAGCGGAGTGTGACCTACTTTTCCCTTTAGCGTCACATGTCCTTCAGAAGCTCCACAGTGTGAGTGATACACAGTGTAGAGAGAGGTAGGTTATAGAATATCAGGAATGTGCTGTATAACTATTCTTTATATTGCTTTCCTGACATGTGATTGTTTGTATTTGTCTGTATAGTGTATATGAGCTACTGCTACTGCTTGGCTAAACCGGCAGGCTGGAAACAGCGAACCTAGCACTACACGGGTCGCTAATGTAAGCAGCAAGGGGCCTAGCACGCTTAGGTTAGCTAAGTAGAATAGGAATTCTTTGGTTTAAATGGCTTTGTGGCGAAATAAGACATGACAAACAAAGAATTGGGTCCTGAAGTCGTGGCTCGAGTTAGCTCTGTAATTGGCAGTATAATGTAGGAGGTCGGCAATATGACGATGTTTTATCGTTATCGTGGTAATTTATGTCACGGTACGCTTTTGTGAGTATTGTGGATATCATCAGTACTTAAAGCACACTGAGTAACTACGTTTCATTAGAAAGTGAGCATAATTAGGCCTGTTTTTAATTGGTTTTAGATTTAGAGTTTTTTTTATATGTGACATGTTCTACTGTGTCTTGACATTCTAAATCTCAGAAAAACAAATTATAGTGATGCAAATGGTGAAAATGTCTTTAAGTATTGTGACATGATATTTTTGCCATATTGCCCACCCCTAGTATGATGTCATGGTAGCTTAAACGTAACCTGTAAGGCCTTGGTCTTCTGTTAAATCAGTGTCCATTCTGATCTCCAGAACCTGCTCTTTAAACTATGGCTGCTCAGGTCACAGAATCAGATCAAATTAAGCAGGTAATGTTTGTTATGGACACCTAAAATATAATATTCACTTAATTTAGCTTTATCTCAGTCAGTTGTAAAGTTGAGTGATGTTCTGCCTGGTCTTATTTTTCAGTTCAAAGAATTCCTCGGCACATACAACAAACTGACAGAGAATTGCTTCATGGACTGCGTAAAAGATTTCACTACCAGAGAAGTGAAGGCAGAAGAGGTATGACACCAGACAAGACTAATGCTGCTTCTAAAAACCAACTGTTCAGCGTTTGCTTTAAACGTTCACTCTTGTTCGGTTTTATTGAAATTTTGGGTTATTTCTGTACATTTTCGTGATTTTTTCTACTTTTTTCTGAACCACATAGTGTCTTAAGTTATAGGACATTAGGGTATACTCATTTATCTGATTCTTTTCAGACCTCATGTTCTGAAAGCTGTCTACAGAAGTACTTGAAAATGACCCAGCGGATCTCCATGCGCTTCCAGGAGTATCATATCCAGCAGAACGAGGCTCTGGCAGCTAAAGCTGGTTTGCTGGGCCAGCCACGATAGTCTACTGCTGCATCTTGATTGAACTCAAATATTCTCAGGCTATCCTCCCCATCCCTACAGGAGGGTGAATGTCTATTGGAACGACAAGACAAAGGACAGTGGCGAGTACCGTTGGAAGATGTCCTCCTGTTTGGTCGGCTCCTTAGCACTGGTGGGGCATTTGTTTGCCATTGTCCCCCAGGAGGCAGAAGCTCACTAGACCATGGGCAAATGTGAAGATAATAGTGTTCTTTTTTTAATGTAATCACTGCATATAACAAAAATTAAACAAACAAGTTGAGACATTTTCATATCTGCTGTCCTATTAACCTAGATGATTATAACCTCAATAGGGAGATTTGGGCATGTTTCAGTTTCTTGAAGTTAGTAGAGAGTAAGGCTGAGACTGATGCACTAAGTTAGGCCAGCCGTTTAGCATCATCACTCAGCCAAGTTCATAATTCTAAAATCAGCCAAAAACAGTGGCTACACAGACCCACATGAATGCAAATCTGAAGAAAACCGTATGGCTAAAATGCTTTTAGTGTATATATTAAGGTATACACACTGACTGTATTTGTGGCCTTCAGGTGAGAATGCTATACAGTCATCAAGTAAATATCTGTGCATTTAAAGTACATTTCTTTCCTTCTTTTTTTGATCTTTTCAGTAAAATGTAGGCTGCTCCATTGTGTTTGTTACTGCTGCTGAAAACCACAGATGAAGTGTGTAACAGTCCACAGCACTACTGACTTGAATAGGCTGTGGATTGCAAGTCCTGCCTGCCCTAATACCATAAACCCCAAGAGCTTCAGAAGTAAAAAAGGAAAATGTATTAACAGCAGAATTACAGTATCTTCTTTTAAACAAAGTAGGCTAGAAAAATGATCTCTCTAAAGGAAACTTAAGCCTGTTTTACTCCAAATACAAATGAAAGCACAAGAATATTTCAAAACTTTATTAGAAATGAGAAGAGCTCTGTTTATTTTACACAAAGATACAATGGCTTTGCTCAGGAACCTAATACCTTCATTCCTTCATCCAGGAATCCATGAATAAATCTCACTCACAAGGAAGCAAGTTCTCATTATTTCCAATAATCATCACCTATAGCGTATAATGTTCAACATACTAGTGGGTTCATTTCTCTAGAGGGCTTGGTTTAGGCTCCTGCTGATGACCTGTGGTTGGTTATATACAGTAAAGATGTGGTAATGCTTCTACCAACCAGACATAGAAAAAGAAGAATTTAATATACAAAGCTGTACTGTTTAAAAATAATATAAATCATTTACAATTTGTGTAAAATGTATTTTTCAAATACATGGTTTTGGAAGATCTATATACAAAAGAAACAATCATAGTAAGAAACCCCTGGGCTAAACAGACATGTCCATTAAGCAACTTTTATTCAATTGGTTGAGAACTCAATGCTGAAACATAAGAATAAAATGCTTAAATTAACAATACAAGTACCAGGAAATCTGTGAACAGAAGCAGGGCAGGTCACCAAGTACTGGTGTTCCATAAAGATCTCAAAATACATTGAGAGCAATGGGCCCAAATGGTAAAAGGGGAGAGAATGAGAGTGGGAGCAATTTACTGCACAGTAGTTACCCAATTGTGACTTCACAGTCTAAACACGTTAGATAAACCCACAACATTCTTTCATTAACCTATCCCATGAACCAAATGAATGTGGGAAGATTGTTTTCACCTTGTAAAAAATACAAAAATGATGTCCACTGACTGAATAAATATACTTAACAAGTTGCAAGATAATACCTTTATTTTACACAAAATTTCAGACCTAGAAATATTTAATTAAATAATTTCATGGCTGTGATATATACCTTTTGAAATTTTCCATACTAAAATAAAAACTCTGCAATTACATATAAAAAGACAAAATACACTCGCAAAGGAAATTAGTCCACTGAAAACAATTTTTTTGTCCCGTGTTCCACTGTAAACATTTTCTTTCATGTTTTTTTCTTTTCTTAAAAAGACAACAAAAATAGTTTTGCATAATTATCTGTGCTCGCACACTACAAAGAGTGGAAGACACCAGCTGCAGTTTTCAGTAAACTACATTCCCTTTTGCAATTGACTTTGTCCCACTTTTCCAAAATAGGGCACTCTGCTGTAACATGTGTACTTTGGCAGTTCTGATGGAGCAAGCGCACAAATTTGACCTTTTTTTGCTAACCATATCCAGCTGGTTAAGTGACCATACCTATACAGGGACTTTAATCTGGGATTTTACCATATTGTGATAGAGGAATTTATGTATGGTTGATTACTGCATCCAAACCAGCCCACTGTACAAAAGCTGTAAGAGGAGGTTTGTTTGGGCCTTGCTGAGAAAGAAGAGAAAAGTGCCGTTTTTTGAGGATGGATGTTTGTTATTTTTTTCCTTTCCTTTTTTTTGGATTACATTCAACCCTCACAGGGAGTCCATTTTTTGATGTTAAAAGTGGCGGCGAGAGGGAGTGAGAGGCAGGATAAGTTTGCAAAGTGCAGGAGGTGGGAGTGGCCACAAGGTGGGACCAGGAGACTGGGAAGTATGGAGGAGGAGGAGGAGGCGAGGCAGTCGAGTGCTATTGGCCACTTGCTCTGGCTCATCACTATGCACGTCTCCACGGAGGCAGCAGAATGCTGAGAAGGCAGAGGTGGGCAGGGTGGGGGGGGGAGAGGTGCGGTATCTATCACCTGCACTCGACAGCAACAGTGTTCTGGGTGGGGGAGGCTGAGGAGGGGCTCATGCCTGTGTCAGATGAGCCGGATGACGTGGAGGCTGTGGTGTGGGACACTGTCAAGCAGAGGGAACACATCAGTAAAATGCTCATATGTACACCAGGTGCACATTAAATCAACTTTCTCCCATCAACCATCATCATTTATGCCAGTAGAGAGGACTACAATCTTACCTTCCCTCTCCTTCTTTTTTAATCTCTTCCGTCTTCTATCAATAGAGGCCACCTCAGATTTCAACGACATGTAGTATTTCCTGATTTCCTGCAGCTTCTCTTGCAGGAAAGCAATTCTCTCAGCACTTGACATGTTGTCCAGCTCATCTGCAAAATCAAAAATAGCGATCAGTCAGGAGAGAACAGACATTTTTACCTGCAACTAATTCTGGGAATCACTGCCTATTCAACATAAAACAACTGCTGAGTAGTTATGTGGAAGCATAACCTGAAAACATCTTACTAAAATCTGTCAAAGAAAGCTTAAATAACTCATAAACAACCTATAGAATTACCTTAAAGACAGTGAGATTTAACAGTGTTTAGTCTAACTTACTGAGCTGAAATGTCCACTTGTATGACCGTGCAGAGGGGAAGGACTGTTTGTCTTTGTGCTTGTCTTTCTCCATGTCTTTGCTGCTGGGAGATGCAAGACCAGGAGAGCGGGAGAGCTTCTGGGCTTTGGTTAGGTTGGAGTGTTTCACAGGAGTCAGCTTATTAGAGGTGTCTATGGCAGGCAGGTCTTCACTGTCACTGCTGTGACCTGAGGGAAGATGCACGGAGGTGCAGGTCAGCATTATTATGTACTGATCATTATGATCATTTTGTAAGGTAATTCATGAAGAAATTGTCCTAAATTTGTAAAGCATGCAAAAATTTCCATTACAAATGAGGTTCTATTAAAATTAACAATCAAATATACTGAGATTTTGGAATTATTTCCATGTCAGGCTTTCAAACATTCAGTATTTGTACTGCTGAGTACTACTTTAATTGGAACAGTTATTCAAATCGAGTTTGCTAATATACCATGCCATTAGGAATCTAGCCACTTCTCTTTACAAGTATTCAAAAAAGATCCCCTTCATTTACTTTTCAGTGGTGCTAGACAACATGGCAGTTACCTGATGCCATCTACAACATTATTATTTAAAAGGTACTCATGTCATTTTTAAACACCAGGAAATATAAACTCAGATTCAAGTGCACTACTGGACTACCTATGCAAACACAACCTTAGAACAGGATACTCACCTGCGCCATTCTTTTCTGCAGTGGAAGCTGTGCTCAGCCTTTTCTGGTTGCGTTTCTGCTTCTTGGCAGGTGAGGTCATGTTGCAGTCCAGCAATCTTTTCTGACCTACAGCAAAGAACAACTTTGTTAAATGTAAAGAAGGCAAAAACAACCTAGCCAAAATTATTAAAGGCGTAGTGCAAAACCACTGACCATGAACATAAGTAAACTGATATGTGGAGAGTTCTGACCAACCTCTGTCTTTGCCATCCCTCTCCTGAAGGGAGATGCTGGAGTTGCTGGAGCTGGCACTGGCATCAAAACCATGTGGGGATCCATTCTCCCCAAGCCCCTCCTGTGATTCAGCCACACTGTCTACCTCAATTGTGGCGTCACTCTCGCTCTTGATGCTGTGGGACTCATCCGGGCTGGGGGTGGAGGATGGCGAGCAGAGCCGAGGAGCCCCTGCTCCTGCTAGGCTGTGAGGGAGGTGGGAGGTAGGCTGAAGGGGCTGTAAGGGTTGTAGGGGTTGGAGGGGCTGGGGCTGAGCTGCAACAGGAGCAGGAAGCTTCTCCTCCCTCATCACCAGTAACTCCTCTCCTGATGGTTTCTCCTTCTCTTCAGGGTCATCCAGATCCACCTCATGACACACCAGTGCCTCTGGGCCTATCCGGGGCATCAGCTCCTCATCGGTGACCACTGAGGTGTCCTCAATCGTTAACAAACCCGGAAGAGGTTCCACTCTGACCTGAACTTCTCTGGTAAGAGAGGGCATTTCTGTTTTGACCTCTGGTTCTTCAGTAGGAACGTCTACTACTGATGCTGGTGCAGGTGCTGCTGCTGCTGCTGCTTCTGGTGCAAGTGGTTCTTCTACTTTCTCCACAGCCTCTGCTTGTCTTTCTGCATCTGATCTTTTCTCTGGTGACAGAGTCTTTGGTTGAGACGGAGTCTTAGGTTCCTCTTTGCGGTCAAGACGAACCTTCTTGTCAGGCGTCCGCTGCTCAGTGGCTTTGCGCTTGGCTATGTAACCTCTCCCTGGAGGGCTAACATCCTCAGTAGCAGAGTCCGTGTCAGAGTCTGCCTTTTCAGGCACTCTTTCTGTAGGGCTACTGTGTACAATCTCCTGAGGGTTCTTAGCCTGGCGTGGGAGAGTGCAGGGCGCCTCAGGCTCAGTGTGATTGGGAGTGGTAGGCAGCTGTGTGGGAGTCTCAGACCCAGGTTCCCTCTGGCGAGCCCTTTTTCCTCTTGATTTGGGAGATTTGTCATCAGACTCTGGTGACAGGGCCATTTCTTCCTCAGGCTTCTCCACATCACTTTTCTCCTGGGGTAGGAGTTTCTCCTGAGGACTGCTAGGACACTCTGCCTCAGCCTGGGCAGCTTCTACCCTTCTTTTCTCCTCTTGCCTTGCCTCTTCCTCCTCCTGCTTTCGTGCTGTGGCAGGGTCAGTTGTCTCTGTCCATTCGGGCTTCTTCTCAGGAGAGTCCTCACACTCGCTCTCCTCTGATGAATTCCCAGAGTCTACAAAAAGAGCAAGAGTAGAGATTTTAAAAGCTGAATAAATCAAGTATTTTGGATTTTAGGAGTTAAGTGGGTTAACAGTAAAATTTTGTCTCCAAATAAACGGCAAAATAAGTACAGTAACATACCATTGGATGCCCTGTCTGAATCGTACATCCCAGACGTTCTCCTTGTGCGCCGACGAGGAGTTCCTGCCAGGACACATGTAACATTAAGCCAAACAACAAAAGATCTACAAAACTGACTACCTGTGAGCTCCTCAGAAATGCAATTATTCTCATTATAATGCAGTACAGAGTCTTACCTTCTCCATTGGGCAGAGTGGATGGGTCTGTGGGACGAGAGCTTTTGCTGCCTGATCTTCCCTCACTGCTGGGGGTTTTGGATATACTGCGAGAGGTGCTGGGAGGGGTGGACTTCAATGGAGGGCGACCACGTTTCACACCTGTTTTTGTCTGTTTGTCCTCCTCTTTCTCCTTCTCAGAATCATCTTTATTCTGGTAGGAACAGCAGAGCTGTTGTCACAGATCTGTATTCCAGAGCAAGGTATTCTACAGAGTCCTGACATTAATTCAAACTAATATGACTCACTTACCTTGACTTTCTTTTTCTGTCTTTTCTTCGTCCCTCCTTTATCAACAGGCCATATAATTCGATCTGCTTTGACCCACTCGTCATATCTGTTGTGCAAATAAATTTCAAACATGAACATGTTATTGGCTGGATGTGCAAATCATAGACAGTCTTTCAAAAAGGCAAAATCAGGAACTTTAGAAATAAACACTAATGCAATCCAGACCATGAAGAATGAACATTGTTACTGCATAAGCCCAACTGATCAGCACTCAATATTCATTATACATCAGCAATAAATTCTGGTAATGACTGTGGTCAAATTAATGGTATGAATCAGAGGGTTTTTAAACAACCAAGTGGTGCAAGATCCCAAAAGAAAAAAGAAAAGTAAAAAGTGAAACAATTTTCAGTACCATTTCCTCTTTGCACTGCACCAACCCTTTTAAACCTAATTCCACCTTCATACTCACCTCACATTCCATCCATAGTAATGGACCAGATAGAGGACTTCTCCATCATCAGTCTCTGTGTTCTTTATGTTGGCTTCATAGATTTTCTGTGATTTTCCTTTGCCATATTTGACCTTTACTTTTGTTCCTGTGACAGAGTGTTCAGAGTCCTCATACCTATCCTCGTCCTCCCTCTCATCTCTGTAAAATAGGGTAAGAATTCTCAAACAGGAGTACTGTTCCAAGAAGGTGACCAATCTAACAAAAAGTCCTTTCCAAAACATCTAAGATAGCTCTATTGGAACAAACATTCACAATCTTCACAAAAGAAAGTTGTTGTGTCAGAAGAAAACAGCAAATGAATATCAAAATGTAGAATGAGTAGGCTAAAAGCCAGGTGTGAAGTGCAGAGGCTAATCAGACAGCCATGGAAAATGTGACATCATAGGACATCAGTCAAAAAAGCAAAGCCATTCTCTGGCATCATCATATTTCCTCCTGCTGAGCATACATAGCCACAACGTTAATAACTAACGAGTAAAGGCCAAATAGTAGGACAAATCCATAAAAATCACATAAAAGCTACATTTTGAAAGTTAACTATATGCATCATAAATCCAGGTTTGGTCACAAATTACCAAATACTTGTGTAATAATGATGTACCTTTCTCTGAGCCTGGATCTTTCACCCTCATCCTCCTCATCTTCCTCTTCTTCCCGATCATCTTCCTCCGAGTCTTTGTCAGACTCTTCAAGCCGGCGGCTACGCCTCTTTCCTGGATTATCTACCTCAGGCTTCTCCTTTTGCTCCTCTCCACTGCCCTCTCCTCCTCGCACCTCTTCTTTCTTTTTCTCCTCTTTCACCTTTTCCTGTTTGACAGCCTCCTTTCCTTCGGCTTTTCCAGGAGCCAACGCACAGCGCCGCCGGCCCTGACAAGAAATAGGCAAGATTACATGGTTTCTAAATTCTCTGACAAAATAAAAGAAAAAGATTAAACATAAAAGTCACTACAGAACTACAGTGGACCAGGAATCACGCCTGAGCGGTTACCCTAGAAATACACTGAAGTGTATCATGTTAGTGGTGACCTTAATTTGTTAAAAAATAAATAGAATGAACAAGCACTAATACTGAAGGACTAATTATGGCTTGCTGTAAATGTAATGTTACTGTATACTGCCACATATCTAATAAATAGCCATACTCTAAGCTTAAAGCCACTGCCAAAAATGCATGCCTACAGGGACAGCATCAATGACTCAAATGTCTCCATAGTATTATTTCTTCCCAAACAGATTACCAGTCACAATCATTTGTAGTTAATTGTAGAAATGTTGTTACTAAATCTAAATTAAGACTGAAAATCTCCAATTATATAATTTGCCATAAGATTTTCCATTGTTGAGATCTTGGCAGTTACAGAACAGAAAATTCAACCATGCAATATTCATCCTCAGTCCTACTTACAAGAGAGTTACAGTATTTCTAAATACTAATATTTGAGTTTAATAACTCAAAAACTCATCGGTTTAGACACAGTCTGGATGATATTCTAATAGAGAGTAGGGGAAAGTCAGACAGCCAAGAGAAGTGTGACATCACATGACATCAGGTCATGAAAGCAAAACCATTCTCTGGTATCATCATGTGAAGTTGCCCCTAACAAACCATACAATTCATCCACACATCAAAACCCAACAGTGATCTATATTAACATGCAGGGCTAACTGCAATTAATGGATTGCTTCCTGCCCAGGGGAGAGGAAAGAAAAAAAAAAGAAAAAACAAAAAACAAAACAGCCTTCTCTCACCCTAGGGGAGCAGATATCTTTGCGGCTTTTCTCATCGTCTGCGTCAGACTCGTCTCCATCAGCTTTGTCCTTGCATTGCTCAGGCTCATCTTTAGTCTGCTGAGTAGGATCACCTTTTTCCTCATTTTCCTCCACCTTTTCCTGCTTAACAATCTCCATCTCTGGCTGGGGGACTGGCCGAGGTTCATTATGGTGCACTGTCCTGAACTCGATCTTAGCTGATCGGCAATACTCTTCGAAGCCATACAGATACCTGAAAGAAAAATTGCAGTTACTCTTTTCATTCAGCTCTTGTTCATTTGAGCATCCTTTGACTTGATATTAGATGTTAAAAAAAATCTGTACTTGTACATGTATCCTTCTAAGTACCAAACTAAGTTATCATCAGCACTTATCAGGTATCACAGCTTGTGTTACTTTTAAAGAAACTCACATAGTAAACTCTACCAGAAGTATTATAGCTTTAACAGAATCTCTTAATGAAAGATGAAAGGGGGTAAAGCTTTAGGAAACCCTCATACTTAAACAAGTCTCCCACTCATGTGTAGAGGACTACTATATGACAATGTGCTTCAAAGCTACATTTTCATTATAGCATTACAGCTACTGGAATGTAGCTTGTGCTCTGTACATACTATCTGAGGTAGTCATGCAGCTGAGTATAGGGTTAAACAAATAACCACTGGCTAGCTAAACAACTAAGAAGGAAGTGAGCATAAACACACATTCTGCCCTCTTCACTCAGCAGTCAAATATCCACAACACAGAGACACTTTAGAGTGTCAGAGACAGCAGTTAGCACATTGTAAGAACACAGCATATTCTGTGAACTGCACAAGAGTACTTACTTTCTATAAGCCGTCTTCACGTTATAAGAGGCAGCCGAATTTAACACAGGAATTCCCAGATCCATATAGACCTGTTTCCATACAGAACCACTCTCAATCTGCAACAAAAACAAAGTCATATTGTTATTTTTTCCTAGACAACTTAAGAAAACATTTCAAGATTACTAGATATTCCAGGACATATCGAGGTGGCTAATGCATCAAGGGAGGATCAGATAGCCAAGAGAAACATGACATCACTTGACATCAGTCGAATAAGCGAAACCGTTCTCTGTGATCATCACTTTAACCCCCTTCCTGGCAATGCACATTACAACTTTTTACACATTTGAAATACAATGAAGGAAATTGCATCCAAATGTCCAAACCTGTCAATGTTAACTAACAAGCCCTCCATTTGATCAGTGATAAAAATTTCAGGTCTTATTTGTGATATCATTTGCAGTGCAGTTCGATTCACATTCATTTCATGATCTCTCCTGGAACATATGGAAGATCTCGCACATGGAAGAGCGGAGAGCTTCACGATAAATAAATGTAGATGCGAGTGTAATCAATGAATGCAGTAAAGATGCAAAGGATGCTTACACTGTCACAGCCCCCATGTTGGTGAACCAGCCTGAAGAGCTTGAAGAGGTTCAGGTCCTTGTAGCCCAGCACAGGGGGTTTGTTAATTGGTGTCCCTGGGGAGAGAGAGGAAGTTCAGATGAGCACTGCAGAGAGGAAGCATACTGCAGAACTAGTCACACGGTGCATCTCAGAAGTACAGTGCGTGACGATGAAGGCAGTACCGCTTATGGTCACAGACCATGAGCTGCACAACAAAGACCTCTTACAAGAAACTTGTTTAAAGATCGCTGGCTAAACTGTGACTAAAAACTGGGTTGTTTGTAGAATCTTCTTGGATGATGCCTGTGCTGTCTTACCTCTGTCTTCCATGAACTTGTAAAGCTGTTGTAGGAAGTGGTCCCTCTCTTCTGGGTCTGGTTCATCATCAGGCTTGAGACAGAGAAATATTAACTGAAGGGCTTAATGGATAAGATCAAGATTCAAGCTACTGACTACCAGCTGCTACCACAGCAGTGGAGCAGAATTAAGAAACTACTCCTATTTATATGAAGAAAACTTTAAATGCAGAGAAGCATGACAGAGTTAGCAACCATTAGCATTAGAAGACTAAATGAACATTGTTCAATTCATAGAACTTTCTTAGCTTTTTAATTGGACATACTCAAGAGCACAAATTTAGTGTCCAAGGTTAAATCAGACAGCCAAGAGAAATGTTACATCACATGACATCAGTCAGGTAAGCGAAACCATTCTCTGCTATCATCATGTTTAACCCAACATGCTAGTGTCGCTATCCAATATCAAATGAACACAGCAAGGCCTGCATTGTTTTTATGTCTAAGCCACTCAGACAACTACCGTGTGAAAATATGTCCGTGTTATGGTGAATTAGTCAACACAAGTTAAGGATGCACCTTGAACAGTAACCATTCTGTCTTTTTTTAAAAAAAAAAAAAAAGGTCAACATGTACCAAAAATCAAGTATGTTTCACAGGGCTACACCAATGTTTGGTTACTCCAGAGTGGAATATACATATGAAGAACATTACAAACTTGCTTTTAATTGCAAGAACCTGGGACTTTTGAGTTTCAAAGACAGCAGACAGACCGAAACCACAAAAGCTGTGTAGGAGCACCGCAAATCATTCACAGGAAATGAGACTGAAACCAGCTGTCAAGACACTGTTCTCTTAAAATATTGCCACATTTCAAATAAAAGCAACGCCAAGTTTAGTGTTACGTAGCTACTGTGAAGATGGCTCCATCACAGGGAGAGCTAACTTTGAGAGCTGCAGAGGCAGAGAGTATTACTCAAGTGAGGAGAGAGAAGCTCTTGTGATGAGCTGCAGCCTTGAGATTTAGACCTGCCCACAAACACATCTGGCACGCCTCCACTGGCACTCAGCCAATCCGCACAGTTCTTTCTCAACCATAGGAAGTAGGGGTTGCCATGGAAGCAGTGTCGGAAACCAAGCAAATGGCTATTTGTCCGAGTGCTGGGAGCAGGAAGAATGAGGCATTGTTGTCCTGAGACTGGGGGTTTTCCCACATGCTGGGGCTATTCACTGGCCTCACTCAAGGTGCTTTAGGCCATAAGATGTGAGAGCCAAGGAATGCCTTTACAGATCAACATAAATACTGATTCAGCACCACCACATTATTTACTCACACTGCTAAAAACACTTTCCATCAAAGACTGGGCACATGTTTACTTTATGGATGTAACTCGACGTCATAGTGCTCATTAACCAAAATGCCACACAGCCATCAAGCTTTTAATATGACGATAATTACACATTATTACTCAAAGACAAAAATATCTCCAATGCTTATTATTAAATTTAATATCACTGTTGTTAACAACAACAACAACAACACTTTTAAAAGAGGCCAGATATGGCTTACATGATGGAAAAAGGCTATACATCATATTACATTATCCTATGGCTTACTTTGATGGCCTGATGCCCATTACAGGCAGTATCCTACCTCTTCTGGCTCTGGCTCCTTCTCCTCTTCCTCACTTTCCTTGCCTTCACCATCATCACTGCTGGAGGATTCCAAAATTTCACTCATATCCATCTTCCAGCCATCTGGGACCTGCTTGGTCTGGAGGAAGAGCAATGCTTCTTCAAATCCTGCAAAAAACAGGACCAGAGTGAGATTTTGGCAATGGGAAAACTCAAAACGCAGAGATGTTAGCTCACACATATACATGCATACCCTTCTTGTTAGAGTACTCTGATTTGGAGATTGTGTCCTCACTCATGTCATGAACCTCATTACGAGCCACAGTATAACTATAAGAAAAGGAACAAAATCATGTTTGACAACGTTCAAGTTCTGACAATGTTGCAGGCTTGCAAACAAACAAAATGGAAGACAAAAAATGCCAGAGTTTAACTTACAATTTGGAATCAGCAAATGATCTCACTAAGCATTGGTCCTTTTTGACAGTTAAGTCATCATTGCAGCTGGGAGATACCACCTTGGACAGATAAACAAACCACAAAGTCAGTTCAATATTTCTTACACATAGATTCAGCAATCACAAGTATCTGGATTTAGCAGAGAGATCCAAGTTGTACAATAAAAAATAAGAAAAATCAATATAACTATCAGGGCTTCAAACCAGTTCAAGGAATAAAAGTCAGAAACAAACAGTATTTTACTAGGAACAAAAACACAACAGAAAACAAAACCATACTTTGGTTCTGCAGGATAAGATGTTAAAGTCTCCGTTGCAAGTTAATAATGTTATTTTTCGTTCCATGTGGCCCACAACATAAGAATTTGAACAAGACCACTGTTAAATGTTTTGCTGCCGAACTTCCAAATATCTCTGGATCAATGGCATGTCTGGCATGCTTTTATTCAATCTATTATTTTACGCACACTATACTGCATCTCGGGAGTTGAACGAAGGAAGTAGCTAAAGCTATGTTATAGGGCAGGGGTGCACAACTCCAGTCCTGGAGGGCCAGTGTCCAGCACAGTTTGGAGGTTTCCCTGCTCAAACACACCCATTTAACCTGGCAATTAACAGATAAGTGTAATCAGGTGTGTTGGAGCAGATAAATCACCAAACTGTGCTGGACACCGGCCCTCCAGGACCAGAGTTGTTCACCCCTGTTATACGGTCTTCAGGCTTTTTGTAGTCTTTTGCTGATATTACATAGATGAACCAAAGTAATATAAACTTGTAGATAATAGCATGCCGTACACTGTGAGAAGACTTAAGGCTATTTGAAATTACTTAAAGTTTGAGTGATTTAGGCATGCATCTCAATACCAAGTGGTCATTAACTTCTATTACTTGTTAGTTACATTAGCCTCACAGCTCCAGTTAAAACTAAAGCAGCAAACTTCAAATGCCAGTGAGAAAATGCTGGAGACCATGAAGACCACAGGGCAAGTTGACAAGTGTTCACTGATAGAGCAAGGTAAATACATATGGTGTACATTTTGTTGATGTTCTGTAAACCTATTATTATTTGAAAACGTCTTCCAATGCAAGAGCAACAGCTCCTTTTTGGGGCTTTAAATGAGAAGCCCTAATGCTGCATCTTCAGTTTCCTCAATGTCGGCTTTATATCATAGTGGGCAACCTTGCAACCTGCTCTAAAAAAAAAAATACAAAATAAAAAACACAGGCAGGTTCTGAAAGGCTGACAGAGCTCACCAGGGCATGGTACCAGGATGCTCGCTCTGGCCCTGTCTGAATGAAGGCAACTTTCCCCAACAGGTCATCATTCAGCCGCCGTCTGTCATCATCCTCTTCCTCACTGGATGAAGACTCCTTCTCCTCCTCCGCACTAAATCATGTAGCAGAGATGAATGAAAGTATGATTTTTTAAAAAAACCAAGTCAAATTAATCACTCTGAAAAGAAAAGTGAGACAAATGGTGGAAAACAGCAGAAACTAAACATGGACTAAATTTCTACTTGATGTTTCAACAGTGTTTGAGGTTAATGACTAGTTGAGAAATAAGACACATGCAGTCTTAAGCTGCTTTCACACTGAACACGGAAGGTGCTGCGCCCACTGCTCACGTCAGTGCAAGCTGCTTTTCACGCCTTTCGTGGTAAGCACTGTGCTTACCAGTTGGACATAAAGTGGGTGGCACTTTCTGTACATTAAGGGAGGGGCTTCTGAAGAGAACAGAAAGACAGAGAACTTCCCAAGTTTAATTAAAGCTGAACCATTGGAAATAAATTGTGAATCTGGAAAGACCAGAGCACAATCTAACATAGGGTACAAGATAATGCAACTTTTTTTTTTTTTGATGTCATTGAACAGTTTCGAGTATAATGTGCTTTTGGTCACCTTGTCATGTTATCATTTCAATATCAATCAATTTACACAGTAATGAGACAGGTATTTCTTGAGATTAACCCTGAATGTTTTTTTGATTACTGAATTTCATAGACCACTGAATTTAAACCCAGATCATTTTTATTGCAGTAATATAGCACCCATTTTGAAGCATATAAACCAGGGGTTTTCCACCTTTGCCTCAACCTTTTCCACCTTTAAGCCTACTTGTTCATACCTTGAAAGCATAACAGCCCACAAGAAATATTTTTTTTATTTAATAAAAATGTTATTTTTCCTTTTACTAAGTGCTAACATTGAAAAAACTGAGATTTAGGGCCTGAATCATATCATATTGTTTATTTTAACCACAGAAACCTTGTAATGAAACCTTTAAAAAATGTAATGATGTTTTTTAAAAAATTGGAAAAAAGAAATGTTTGCCTACGAAGTAGGTAGCTTTTAGGACACTGATGTTATGGAAACAACAGTCCACTTAAGAACCTGCAGGCCATAGTGTTAGCGTAGTCACCCTCAACTCCACCCCTTCATATTTGCTTTTTTATGACTGGTCTATCAATTTCAAGTTACCCAATCAGGTCACTGATGCTTGGTTGCAAATACATTCGGGTATCTATGTGCCAAAATGCATATCCTCGCTATTATTGTATTTCTCTCTTATAAGCAGCAGCTCACGCTGCAGGAACGATATGAATGTCTATCAAGAGTCAGACGTTAAAATATACAGACACAGCACTGATGCGGAGCTAGAAGAAGAGAAAAGCATATCCTGATGTTGAATTACTTTGTTTGCTGCAGATCATCGCAAAAACGTCGTCCCATCAGCAGTGAACTGAACCAGGATTGGAAGCGGACCAAGACCCACAGTTTTCGCTAGAAAATGGTTCAAGTATTTGGTGCAAACCCAAGTATGGGTTGAGTGCATGCACAAATGGTCAAAACAGACCAAACTAAACAAAAAGTTTGGTATGTCCACACCAAACAAGCTAGCTGTGAAAGCGCCCTGAGAAACTTCTCCATCTCTGACTACCTAGCTATCCACATCATGTGCCTGTGCCTGCCTGGACTCAAAACTGATAATGTTCAATTAGTTTCCTCTCACTTATATTGTTGATCATTTGAAAAACTATTTTTACAACTTATTTATTATTAAGTACATTTTTTGGCTTGTTTTTCCCACTTTCAAATGTTTTAAAACAAAGTGCCGTTACCAGCCCAGTATAAACTATTGCCTCCCCCTGAGTCTAGACCCATGGACCACTAGAAGATGCATCATGGCCCACTTTGTGGTCCATGGCCCAGTGATTGAAAACCCCTAATGTAAACAACCCACAGTGAGAACTAGCCAGGCTAAAATACAGCCTCCACGTGGCAGAGTTAGTATTAATAGTTAACGCACTGTTACCAGTGAACCACCTAAAGTAAACAATGAGAGAAGTCTATATCCCTTCTAATATAAATTACAAGATTTCTTTTTTTTTTCTACAGATTCATGAAAAAATGTGGTCAAAATGTGTCCAAAATAAATGATGGAAGGACATACCAAACAGACACATGCCACTGCTCTTGCACTGGCCGAGCTTTGATATGTCTGTAGAGCATCACACAAAAGTTGAAAACATTAAACCCTTAGATGACCCTGCTTATGAGCCTCGACAAACTCTGCTTTAGTTTAGTTAATACATCTTCCATATCACACCTCTCACTGGTATATTACAAATTACTTGTCTTTTCAAGAACTGTATTTTAGATTGAACATAATGCAGAATGCAGGGACCTGGACAACACATACCTGCTTTTACACAAAGTCAAAGAGACAAGTCATCTTGTATCCTAGGCCATCTTGTATAGATGACTCTTACTAACATGCAGTAAACACCTTAGACTTCACACTTCAGATACTATCCTCCCTGAAGTGGTAAGTGGTGAGGGCTGGTTGCTGTTTGGTGTGAAGTCAAAGATAAACAAGTTTTTAGAAACCATCTCTACCACGTCAAATATTAAACGATCATGACCTCAGTCTTTAAAGTCCAAATTCACATTAGTAAAAACACAGGCTAACTCCTCCTAAAGTGAAACACGGCAACGTGACCTCAGGACGTAAAGAGTAAAACTAAGCATTATGAAAAGTACTTGTAGCTAGTAGAGGGTTATGGCACTGGAAAAGAACAAGAAAAAAAGATGTGGGAAAAACTGAGAATGAAAAAGATAGGGCCAACGAAGCCATTGCTGCAAAAAGTGACAAAATACCGCAGTCAAAGCACCAAAAGTGCAGAGGCAAGTCAATTGTGATAGATGAAGGTAATATTCTAAATCACAATCAAGGTATCTGTGTAAAAACATGCAGTTTTGCCATCTTTTTGGCCTTAAAATTAATGTTTCATTCAATTCATATGAGTCGCAAGTCAGAGATCATTTGAACCATGCGAGTGCTGAAAAAGAAGAGGAATATACAGATGAGCTGCCGCCACAATACACTATATAATGGGCACGCTTTAAGCTCCAACAACTATCAGTGTTGTATCCATGACTGCACTGTAAAGTCAAAATATTGAGATGACCTAAATTTAACATGCTGACAGAAGACTGTGTTATTTATAATGCTGTAGTTTGAACTGAAATTAAGTCAGTATGCAAACAAAATGCCAAGCACAACTTTACAGTCAAATCCCGCTCCAAACTTTAAAGGCTGTCAAAACAAAGTGCTGGAATCAGAAAGAGCAAAGGCCCCCATACCCAATATTTTTGCCATTTAAAACATAAGTACAAGGCAAAAAAGCCCCCTCAAAATAAGAACATGTCAGTGTAATAACACTGACATTTACAATCTGTCTTTGAAGACAAAAAGATTATATCTACACACTGCTTAATGATTTTTTGCCCTGCTTATGAGATTAAACCACCAGCAGTTAGTGTTTCTTAAAAAATATAAATAAATAAAATAAATAAAAATTCACAGTGTCTACTTTTGTACACAAATTCCTCTGAATTTCTGTCACTGGGGACAAAAATGACCTCTTAGAAAAATTTCCTACTTTGTCATTAAGTGGCACTCACAACCTTTCCATGATTTTCTTTGTGCTACAATACTTCTTGGAATTGGCCCAAGAACGGATCAAAGATCAGCACACCTGAAACCAAACATGAAAAACTACTGCTGTTTGCATTCAGTTCAACAGCCCAAAAGAGAAAGCTTTTCTTAAAACATACTGAGGGTAACTGCAAGACCAACACTCCGCAAGACTGAGTAAAACAAACACTTACACTGCCTGAGAAGACCGCCTTCCTCGATTTGTCTTCTTCCCAATGACAGGAGTGCCAAAGTGCTCTGGGTTAGTAAGGGGCAGTTGGTCCAAGGTCTGTTAAAGAAAGCAAAAGAGTTCTATCTGTCCATGTCTTAACAAGACCAGAACTGATGAGATCCTATCCCACTGGGGACATACCTCACTCTCTGCAAAATGCCTTTCACCTTTAAGACACAGTGAAGTTCTTCTAAGTGTTTTCTCATCTCCATCATCAAACACTGGAAAAAAAGATATGTATGTTAATTGACATTATTTTATACATAATTTACAAAGGCATCTCTTGACAAGCAATATACTATCAGACTAGCTTAAGGTGGGGCAGTCACATGGCAGTAGTGGTCACTGAGCAAAGTAGTTAAGACATCCCAGGACTTACCCACAGTGTACCAGCTGGCATCTGTGAGTTTACTGATGACAGCCTCACTGAACACCCCTTCTGGGCTTTTCACTTCCACTGTAGATCCAACCTGATAGCATGAAGACAGATGAATGAAGATATATATATATATATATATATATACACACACACACACACACACACATATACACACACACACACACACACACACACACACATGCACACACGCACGCACCAATACTACTTTTTTCCTTATGATGCCGATACCTAAACCTTTAGTGTCGGCCGATACTAATTCTAACCTAACTCACAAATAAGTCCTAATGTTTATATAATTACATTAGTAAAATATTCTGTTTTGGTGAAATCTATGTTCTGCGTCAAAATAGCATTTACATTTTGGAACATAATTATTAGATGCTTAAGAAAACTTATTTTTGTTTATTTACTGTACATATTTTATATTTACTATTATATAATTAGTAATAGGAACCATGTTCAACAACTTAAATTTAAAATACCTTTAATGTGCAAAACAACTAAAAACAGAACTGAACAGTATAGAGATAAACCTGTGGTGTTTACACATCAGCACACAGCAGCTTCTCTGGCTCAAAAACAGCTGAATGTTATTTCACATCCAATTTCTCAAGTCATTTGTCTCATACATGCATCCTGTTCACTCATTCTGCATCTCTGAGCATTAGTTCAATAAATATCACCACTGTTCACTTTGTCAGTATTAGCGACTTTCAACGTTTATGCTTGCTTGGTTGAAGCAACGGGTTGCCAGGCCCCGCTGATGAGTGATACAACTGACCAACAGAGGTGCACCGCAGGCAGGGCTAGTGGTCGCACAGGCCCAGCTAGTGGACTGCTATGCTTAAGGCTAAATCCAGGCTAAATGCTATCATTATGCCGAGAGTCCGGCAGTTCCTTCCGCTCTCTTAACATTAACTCAAACTGCAAGTGACCACACAGCGGCAGACGAGTGATTTCTAAAAGAAGCAGCTCAAGCTGTTCAGGTAAGTGGCTCCGTTAGTGTGTTCTAAACACCAAAAAACTGCTGTTGCAGATTCTGCCATGAGCATTTTTACTGCTGCTTATCGTCCCACTGCTGACACGTTAGGTTCTGTCTACATGTGCATGCACGCATCAGAAAATGCTTTGTGGCAGTCATAGGTATTGGTATCCCCATCATTGATACCAATACTGCATTTAAGTGCCAGTATCGGCACCAATAACGATACAGTATTGGTGCAACACTAGTTACAAATGTATAACACTCTTAAGGCACCTCTGCTTCCATCAATGAGCTTGAGTACACTAAATATTACTGTCTAACTTGCCAAAAAAGCATTGTAAAAATTTGCTAAAATAAACAAACTGATGCTTGCGCACAATTCATGCCTGAAGACAAAGTCAGTTTGATGAATACTTGACATTGAAGAATCCCTTACCCTCAAAGGCCCTTTGACCTGGTCATCTTGTACAACTTGCGAAGAACTGTCTGCTTTGAGCACCACCTAGAATCACACATATGGTGCACAAGATCAATGAGAAGATGAGGTTTACGGATTAAGATAGAGAGAGAGGGAGAAAGAAAGAAAGTTGTTGTAGGTTCAGTCAAGGTAAAGTAATCTGCTTGTGTAACGGACACACTCTGCACTTCATGATCTGTCACCAAAGGGCTTCTTTGGGCTTCTCCCATGAAAAGCCCAGTTTGGCTCCCTAGAATTCTCTGTCTGAAGGAAAGAACTGGCTCAGGCCATGCCTTCCAATGAATGATGCAGTTCAAGCATTACTACTTTCCTTTTGAAGACTTGTCTTTCATGTTTCAAGCCACTGAACCAGCAAACAGCCACATAGGACAGCATGCCGTCATGACACTCTGCTCAGAAAAACACCTACATAACAAGCAAGCGAGAATCACTAATATTAACACACAAACTTTTTGAACTTCATACCTGCCGAGAGTGTATTTAAAATAAGGTAATTAAATAACAAGGAATATCAAACCTTGGCTAACATAACCAAACAGGACATCTCACTTTTCCTTTCTAAGCCAACTATGCCTTCCAAGATTGCTGGTGCAAAGTGCACTATGTTCTCATCAACGAACAGAAGCACAGTTATCAGAACAAGTCAGCACATGAGTGATGTCCCAGGTAAAAACAGAGATTGTGTCCAAACCCAGTGACACCCAAGATCAGATAGGCAAAACTAAAACAGTACCCTACTCACTTGCACCATGGCTCACTGACACTTTCATTTGACATAAACAAAGCTTCTTCAGCAACAGCTCCCCTGACTGTAACACTTTAAATATTATTTCCAAGCTCAAGAACAACTTTAGGTCACACTGTTTGACTATAACAAGAAGAAACGCTACAATCAACAATTTTACAATATTAGGTACTTACTTTAACTTTCACCATCCGTTTAACAGTCTTAATTTTTGCCTCACAAAAGGCACCTCGGTACTTAGCGCTCACATCCGTTCCCACTGTCAGGTAGGCAGGCTCATCTGCTACCTGAAAAAGAAAAGAACACATCAATATCAAACATACATCTACACGTTTAAAATGATGATAGGTAAACCTTGAAACTAAACCAAAGCTGGACAAAAAACACACATTTCATAATCTACAGAAAGTATATTAGTTCTCAAAAAGCACAAGAGACTTTGCTGAGGACTCTCAATCACTCAACAAACTGGCCTCTCAGAAACATTATAGTAGGCTGGTCACCATGTAAACTCTCTTTACAGATATGTAGCTTACTATGCTCTTGGGAAACTTAGGTCTTTTTCTGCAGTGTACAAATTCTCGCCAGTAGGAACAACAAAGAGAGCAGTTTCCATAGACACGCACTGTTCAACTGTACTTTTGACCAGATAAACCTTTTGTTACTGATGCACAAAAGTGCAGACAAGAAGGCCTTTCACAGGACAGGACAGTTCAACCACACTGGGTGAAACGCTTGTCATGTAATGTGAGGAGGGGGAATATATATTTAAGCAAATGTACACTATAGATTTACAACTAAGCACACGTGTTGTCGATAAACAACTTGCCAAGTCAAAGCTGGCTGCTTGTTTGGCTTCGGCTAGAGAGGCGTCGGCTACACTGCTACAGTGCTCAGCTTCAGGATTTACTGACTTACCTTCATTGTGATGGCTATTTGAGGGAGTCCAGCTCGAATGGTTTGATAGCTGAAAAACAAGAACAACAGAGTGGAGGGGAGAAACTGGGTGAAAATGTGACAGTTTTTTGACGAGGTGCACACAAAATGCAAAACAGAGAGCAGAGAAACGCTAACAGGCTAACGGGCTAGCTACTACTCACGCATTCTTTTCAAGCTCGATGCAGCCTCCCCCCTCCACACACACACACGCACTCACACACATACTCCCTCCCTTCACGGCAAAAATGTGAAGCAAGCTCTTAAGCGCTTTTTCACAAAAACAAGTCTGTAAACGACAGCCGACAACCCCATTTTATACAACTTTCAACGTCTTTTGGGGACGTACAACGCCGAGACCGAGAGGAGGAGGAACAGGGAGAACAGTGCGTGCTCCTTCCCGCTTTACTCACAGTCCGAGTGTGTCACGTCGCCATCATAGCTCGTAGCGCTGCACCATGTCAGGAGCTTTCGCCTTACCACTCTGCTAAGAACCGTATGTTTGACCAACTAACCGCAAATAGTGTCCCGTTTTCCTCAGAAAACTGTCACTAACATCACAGCACATAAGAACGAACGAACAAGGTATCCAGCTAGGTTACAGATATTGGTGGAGAGCTCGGTTCTCTACGACAAGACAAGCTAAAACACAGCCACTCGTCCGGCTTGCTAACCTAGTTAACTAACTAAACCTCGTCAAAACAGTTCACCGTTATTACTGCGATTCAAACAGCCTCACATACCAGTTAAGTCAGCGAGCCAAAAAAGCAAAAGCCAGTTCCGGAACAATGTCGACTCAGTGGCGAAGGTTCTTTTATACACTCATGTTACTCTAGGTACAAGTTTAGCACAGACGAGAAAGTGTCCGATAACGAGTCATTGTGGCCGTTAAACCGATCTCCCCTAATTCCACTAAAGCCAGTTAGCGGGTTTAGCTAAGCTCCGCTCCCTTCACCACGAAAACAAGCCGCCTAGCAGCACGACTAGCACGGCTGGTCGGTCGACTAGCTGGCTAGCACAGCCTCTGCCATTCAAATTTTCGTCGTGTTAATCCCTCCGTCGGGAAAAAACAGTAAAGAAAACACCCCAACCTGTACTTTTTTGTGACCAACGACACAGGGGACTATGGATTTTCGCGAGACAAAAGTTGTTTAAGTGTTATGTCTCAGGTAAAGATACTTACATACTCCTATATGACTGCTCACCACTCGCCTCGGGTTGCAAAGCATAAACGAAATAACAAGCTGTTGAGCCAAGGTTGTGTTTCTCGAAATCCGATTGGCTGTCGTGACCGCGGTGGCCACATTCTTAGAACTGTGATTGGCCCGCTGATGCGTTAAATTCTATAGGACAGAGCCAAACTCGAGACATGATTGGCTAATATGAAAGCGGCGCTACAAACTCGCTTTTCTCATTGGTTGGCAGTGATGCCGAATCCTCACAATTAAAACAACTCGCAGTATTCACTTCATTGGCTGAACGTTTCCCGTCGACAGCTGTCGAAATTGTTTATTGGTTAAAATGTCACCGACACGACCCGCCTCCTCTATTCATTGGTTCATCTGTTTTATTGAAAGGGAACGGGCTTCATTTCAGAGGGAAAAATAGAACGTTTTGCTCTTTATTGCGCATGTCAAAACGGAGGGTTCATTCGCCATTTTGTTCCCATCGTCGTTGTTTTGTCGTACTGAACCTGAGCTCGGCGATCCGGAGGTGAGTCCGAACTGACAACAGATCAACTAAAAGAACATTAATCTATCTATATAAGCTACCTAAACAGTTCAGGGCCTGCTGTGAGCTTATTCGCGTATTAAATATAATTTTACATGGGAGAGAAACGCACTTAAATGCGACAGTGTAGAAAAGGTCAGTTGAAGGCTGTGAGAGTAATGGCGTCTTAATTTCAATTCCGCTTAACGTCAGACTTGGACATTTGACGTAACGGAAGACAACATGGTCGAGGAGAGGTTACAGCCAGATTCATCACATTGGCTTTAACATTTTTTCCTTTTACCTGCTTTGTTTTAGAGATTTAGAAACCTTGTTATATTTCACTCGACGAAAAAAAAATCCTTTTATTGTCCTTGTACAACTACAGTTGTGGGCAGTATAAGGTTAGAGAAGAAAAAACATCCTCACATATGGTCTTATAGGTCATTTTTTCCCTTATACATATTTAATCTACTTGGGGTCTGAAATAAGATGCTACGTGGAGAATCAGACTTTCAAATCACTTTTAAATGTCTTTTTAAAACACTTTTTCTGATGCCAGGTCAGTATATTCAGTGGCAAGTTATTATTTTAAAAACTTAATTATTGTTAAGACTGATTTAACTGGATGTAATTTTACACAAGTCAATTATCCATAAACATAAAATGGAAAAATTCTTAGAACAGAATAGGATGATGTAAGTACTTTTATTTTTAAGTTTCTGTTGAAATTAACTCATAAGCCACAGAAAATCTCTTAAGATGCAAAGCTGTACATAATGTTTCCAGTCTGTAGAAACATGCATTACTGATAGTATAAGGTATATTTGTGTAAACCAAAACTCGTCTTTTCTTCTGTAAGATGTGGTTACACATCCCTTTGCCTTAATGACAGCGACAGTCCTGTCAGGATTACACCAGTCTCATGAGAGAATTCCTGTTCATTTTAACCCACTCTTCCACTAACTTTGTGCTTGACACTCCTATATTCCTGTAGGGTGCATGTGTCCAAATCACTGTGTGAGTGGATTAGTAGATGTGATGGAACACTGGGACACTTTGACCAGACCTCTGTCCCAATTCTCAGTTTGGAACAGCAGGTGAAGTTTGGAACAGCAGGTGAAGTGCTGAAATAGGCACATACAAACTCTCGCTGAAATGTTCCAACTTATCAGATGCTAAAAAATAAATGTTGGGTCATATGCATCGCAAAATTACATTTTTGTCATATCGCCCATCTTTATATGTGACTAATTATTTGCCCAGTAAGCTAAAGTAGCTAAACTAAAGTACTGTCTGTATACTACTTCTGTACCAGAACATTTAATAGCCTGTACTATCTATTAGCTCAAGACTGGCTCATACTGTAACATAAGTGAAGTGAAAAGATTTGGACACTACACATTATTTTCCTGTGGGAATCTTTAAGTATTTGAAATTCTGGTTACTTGGCTTTGCAAAGTCATCCATAAAGGGCAGTTGGGTAAAGTTGTTTTTTAGTAGTTCGGTAAGAACCTGTTGTGTTTATATCCTCTGAACTGTTTTCTCTTTATTCCTGCATGTACCTTTTTAGCTGACTTATGGAAGCTCCAAAAGCAATAAAGTATTCTGAAAAAAGAGCTATACTAGATGCTGTAATAGTAATCTGGTAAATATAAAAGATGAATTGCTTTGGTTGAACCTCAGTACACAAAGTTCAGGCTGGTCTTAAAGAATCATCATCCAAGATTAGGCTGTGACATAGGCTCTGTTTAATTCAGACGTAACCCCTTGGATCTACTCGCAGTCCAGTACTAACTGCCCCAATTTCTAGTCATAAATATTTAACATATTCATTATCTATGACTCAACATTGCATAGTTTTGGGGAAAAGCCCAGTAAAGGTTTTATATGAAATAAGGAGAACACAGAAGGATAATTTTCTTATCAACATTGTAATACATACATATGTGTGTGTATGTGTGTATATATATATATATATATATATGTGTATATATATATGTATATATGTATATGTATGTGTGTATATGTATGTATGCAGTGCCTCCGCTGCAGATTTTGCAGGTTTACACATTTGGAGTTAAAACAGAATGTTATTCATTTTTAAGAATTTTGCAACGTTTACCAGAGGGTCAATTATTATTCAACCCCTCAAACCACCGGAATTCTGTTTGGTTCCCTCAAGTATTAAGAAGTAATTGAGGTATTAAGAACAATGAGCTTCACATGCTTGGATTAATTATGTTTTTCCCCACCTTTTCTGACTATAAAAGCCCCTCCCCAATCAAGTGAACAGCACTCATACATGGTCAACATGGGAAAGACTAAGGAGCATTCCAAGGCCATCAGAGACAAAATCGTGGAGGGTCACAAGGCTGGCAAGGGGTACAAAACCCTTTCCAAGGAGTTGGGCCTACCTGTCTCCACCGTTGGGAGCATCACCTGGAAGTGGAAGGCTTATGGAACTAGAGTTAACCTTCCACAGCCTGGACAGCCTTTCAAAGTTTCCTCCCGTGCCGTGGCCAGGCTTGTACGAACGGTCAAGGCTGGCCCAAGGACAACAAGGAGGGAGCTCCGAGAAGATCTCATGGCGGTGGGGACATTGGTTTCAATAAATACAATAAGTAACGTACTCTACCACAATGGTCTCCGTTCCAGATAAGCCCGTAAGGTACCTTTACTTTCAAAGCGTCATGTCAAGGCCCATCTAAAGTTTGCTCATGATCACTTGGCGGACTCTTAGGCAGACTGGTTCAAGGTTCTCTGGTCTGATGAGACCGAGATCGAGGTCTTTGGTGCCAACCACACCCGGGGCGTTAGGCAAGAGGATGGCACTGCATACGACCCCAAGAATACCATCCCTACAGTCAAGCATGGTGGTGGCAGCATCATGCTGTGGGGCTGCTTCTCAGCCAAGGGGCTTGGCCATCTGGTCCGCATCCACAGGAAAATGGATAGCACAGCCTACCTGGAGATTTTGGCCAAAAACCTCTGCTCCTCCATCAAGGATCTTAAGATGGGTCGTCATTTCATCTTCCAACAAGACAATGACCCCAAGCACACGGCCAAGAAAACCAAGGCCTGGTTTAAGAGGGAAAAGATCAAGATGTTGCAGTGGCCTAGTCAGTCTCCTGACCTTAACCCAATTGAAAACTTGTGGAAGGAGCTCAAGATCAAAGTCCACAAGAGATGCTCAAAGAACCTAGACAACTTGGAGAAGATCTGCATGGAGGAGTGGGCCAAGATTACTCCAGAGACCTGTGCCGGCCTGATCAGGTCTTACAAAAAACGATTAATAGCTGTAATTGCAAACAAGGGTTATTCCACAAAATATTAAACCTAGGGGTTGAATAATAATTGATCCTAATTTTTATATTTAAAATGTATTATAATTTAATTGAGCAACGTATGTTTTTTGTTTGTAATATTAAGGCATCTATTAATAAATGCTACTCTTGTTCAAAGTTTGAAGGCTCTAACTTATTTGCAACTTGTTGAATTTGCAAAATCTGCAGGGGGTTGAATACTACTTAGAGGCACTATATTTTCTTTTGCATTCTGTCCCTTACTATCAGCATGTTTTTCATTTATAGTCACATTTGTTCACGAGAGGTTCTGAGAGCGACAACCTGGTTGTGGTCAGGATTTGCAAGCATAGTCTGGAAGTGTGTGTGTGGTCTTCTATTTTGGGCAAATCTGTAGTATGGTGGCTCTGGCAGCTGAAGGGCAAAAAAATCTAAAATCTGGTCAAATTTAATAAATCCTGTAATATGAGTCTGGCTTTACTTAGTGGCAAACATGGACTTTGCACATATGTAGGTGATGAGTCGCACATTTGTATGACAGTGTGTGTAAATTACAATAAGCAATTCCCTTTGCAAGCTCCCATTTGTAAACATTAGTGGGAGAAAGTCATGTGCTTCGTGAGATTCAGCAACTTTTTGGTGAGGCCATCTCTCGGATTATTAGGAATGAACAGCTAAAATGCATAAACACCTGAGAAACTGTAGGGTGGGTAGTGTGTTTCACTGTTCCTACTTTCATCCTCCACAAATAAGAGATTTCAGTAAAATGAATTCAGTTAGACATCATGCCTGATGTTACATTTGTTGTTGTTAAAGTGAGGTGAATAGTACACAGTCAAAAATTGGAAGAAAGTAACATGTTCCACTCAGCACTATATTTGGGATTTCTGAACTGCAGTACAACTTTAGCCTTTGCAATTTTTGGTTTTGAAAGGGCACCAGCCACATGACCAATTTAACAAAGTTACTTGGTTCACATATGCAGAATAATTGTTATATTTGCAAATTACATGCCACATATTTAGAACTCGCTACATATGTATTTTTTCCGGAATTTGAAAATGGGAACTTCTATTTTAAGACATTGTTCATTTTAATTTGTGATTCATGTACATATTTGGTAAACAAGAAGTTCATGTTTGCAAATGTCAGTCTAAACTAAATGTAAGGCCTTGCTGAAACTTTTCCTGTCCCTTAACACGCCTGCCACCACAAAACACTTCACTGTACAGTGCTTTTCTTTTCCCATTTCAATATTTTAGTGAGTTTGGTGTGTTTTTTTTAGAGAGTGTTTGAAAAGGAGTATGAGCATCTTATTAATATACCATGGATAGTAGCATAGTATTAATAACATTGTAATCCATCATTTCAGGTTAGGTTTTTGTTTGCATTCTGCAGTTTTTGAACACAAAATTGCACCAGTAAGGACAAGAAGGCATCAGTATACTCAGTGACTGGCAGAATTTAGGTCATCTAATCCTTCATTTATTTAGCCAACCTCCAGCACTGATGCTGATTTGAGTTTATAGGTTTTAATTACCTGTAATTAAAATGACATAACAATTTTAACATTCCATCAGCGATAGTGTCAATACGGTTGGTTTTTGATGTGCTAAACATGTAAATATAAGTAAATGAACAGCAGAAAGTCCACGTTTCTTATTCATACACACATCCACCATCACAAGCATGTAGCCTTGGGACCACAGTGTAGGCTGTGAAGACCTGTATTTTTTGGCTAGCCCACTTGGCATGTAAAGTGAATCCAGCATAAGTTCAAAATTCTGGTTTCATACGATGTGGTGTCCAGTAACCATGATTTTTTAAAAAGTAGTAATATCTTAAAACAAATGCATTTTAAGAAAAAAGACATTTTTTTGCACTTCTTACATCGATTAAGTAGGTCTCTTAGATCCATGGACCCAGGTCAGTTAATAGAGCCCAGAGTCCAAACTAAACACAGTGAAGCAGCATTTAGCTATTATGCACATAGATATACATACCTAGATGGCACGTCAACAGCACCGCCATTTTGGGGTGGTCAACATCGCTGCTGGACAGCATTCAGTACCATTACACAGTGGCAGTACAAGAAAGATACTGTCCAAACTTATACTATTTCAAGAATATTGAACTCAGAAAGTGGAACAGGATTATATAACGGAGGGAACGCAGAAATCCACGCTCATGTTTGTGTGATGTGTACTGTTTGTGTGTAGATACGGCCACGTGGTTGGTGAAGCACAGAGAACCTGTTGATGTGATTATTTTTCCTCTGGTTTTATATTAAGCTTATTTCATTTAATAATCTGTTCGCAGGATCTTAACCTTATGTAGTAATTATTTATTTACAATGATGGTTAATGCTTTAGCTAGGCAAGTTATTGCGTTCCTTTATCTGTGTAGATATTCATATTAGAATAACGTTGGCACCTTCTTACACAAAGCTGAAGTCATCATCTTGTTTGAATTTTCCTGCTCCACCTTAAATGGTGCATCAGACAGCATCTTGTTTGAATTTTCCGTTCCACTTTAAATGGTGCTGCTTCAGGCACCAGAATGTAACTGCTGCACCATTTAAGGTGGAACGGGAAAATTGGAACAAGAAGCTGGCGAATAAGAAGCCAATTTCAGCTTCATTCTGCTTACTGTGTTTTGGGGGTTTATTTTATTTTTATGTGTATTACGATTAGAATTGATTCACACATTGATGGATTTGCTGATGCGTGTGAGATTATGTTTCCGCTGAAGCTTGTGCTAAACTTGGTTTTTAACATCAGGTGCAGACCAAATACTTTCCTGCTGGTCCGGGTGGCTAATTAGCACGATCAGTTATTAAAGAAATAAAAACTACCGAGAGCAGTCCGTGCAACGTAGACTAACTAGACCTAACCCTCTATGTCTGAGGATTATAAAACAAAGTTGGGGAAATCATTTGAGTAATAAGGAAGTTGTGGCCAATTTAATCCTGAGAAATCATCTTTGAATACAAGTTCACAAGTGGATCTTGACCGCTCCAACATGGCGCAGACGTATCGCCTCAGATAGAAAACAACAGACAATGCGTCATCTAGGTATGTATATCTATGGTTATGCAGCAGACAACTGGAACAAACTGTCAGAAGATCTTAGATGTGCCCCAAACGTAGCATTTTAAATCCAGGTTAAGAACATTTCTCTTTTCAGGTGCTTATGATTGAGCTCTAAGTTGCACTTCACCTTTGTTTTTAATTTTCTTTTATGTTTTTACCCTGTTCTTACTGCACTTTACCCTTACAAGATAATTGTAACACTTAAATGCTTTGTTTAATTCTTTTAATTTGATGTACTTTCTTGTAATCATGTTTTGTAACTATCTTTTCAAAAGCCTTTCTGATGTGCTAGTTCTAAGGATGTGATAAGCTCCCTTATTTTCAGTGTACTTTATCTTAGCACCATTTTTATTTCTTTTATTCCTTAATTTACTATTTCATTATCTTTTGCTCCTGAATTTTAATTTTTGATTTGTATGACATCTAAATGTTCTCCTAAGTTTTATCAACTCTTTGGGAGGTTTTTAAAAGTTTGCTAGCACAGGTATCCCAAGGATTGATTAACAGATTAGAGGTTTGTATTACTTCCAGGTAAGCTTTTTTTGTTCAGTTACGGCTGCTATTCAGCGGGTGAAAGCAGTAACTTTTGTTCTTAGAGGGCTGGAAATGACTCGGGTATAATCGCAGTTGCATTCTTCTTATGCACTTTATCTTGTTAAATATCCTTGCAAAAGCCTTTCTGAGGTGCTAGATCTCAAGACTGTTATAAGCTGTATTATTATCTAATACCTTTTATGTTCCTGTTTCTGTAAAGCAGTTTGAATTGCCACTGTGTATGAAAGGTGCTACACAAATATAGTTGCCTTGCTAATTCTCTACACTGGTGGAAGGTTTGTAATTTATTGGCAATCTATCTGACTAAGGTCAGGGTATTGTCAGCCTCAGACACACCATCTAATATCTTCTGATATACTCTTCGCATGTCTGTGTATGCACTTCCATGCAGCAGGCTCTGTCTGATGGGAAATATACAACTGCAAGTAGTTGCATGCTCTGCGTGCTGTGACTGAGCCTTTCAGAGCAAGATTTAGCCACTGGATTGAAGAAGAGTATGTAAAGTTCATTGCATCGCATCTTCGTTATTTAAGAGTTTTCTTTTAAGTTTTACTAGCTTTTCAGCGAGATTTTCAAGAGTTTGCCTACAAATATGTCCAGCGGGATTGTTTTAGTTGCAGCCCTGTGTTGAAAAACTGCCCAATTCTATATGTCAGTCTAAACCAGCAGTCTGTGGTTGGATATTTTGTGAGTCAGTCAAATATCTCTTTTAGTGAAAGTAGATAGGCAGTTCTTGACCACATTAAGCAACAAATTACTCGATTCTCTGGCCATGCAATTTTGCTGCTCAAGGTTACCACTGTTGTTGGACACACTTAAGATTTCTTGATCGTAAGTTACATCAAATGCTCTTAACATTCTTGTGTGTGCATAGTGTTTACAAGCAAGCAGCAGAAACCACAGCAACCCAATCAAGGACAAATTGCAGTCATGCTCATTTTATGACAGTAGCCTCTTTGTGATCTTACTTAAGGTAGTGCAATTTAAGCTCGAGATACTGCCCCAGTATCTTAAGTCAGACTGAAGTTGTAAGGTGCACAGCAAAGGATATCAGAATCAAAATGCAATGTGTTGAGTTTTACGCTGACAAATAGTTGCTCTGCAGTTCCTTGCACTGGTGGCTGGCACTGCTGATGCTCAGTACAAGGTTCAAGTCCTTGCAGTGTACTTCTGAAGACTTCTGTTTGTCTACTATCTAAATATAAAGACTACACATATCCAGTGAAGCTGTACTTCAATTTTCAGCCAACTATTCTATAAGAGAATACATATGACTGTGCATATGCGTTTGCAAGTAGCATTCACAACATGAAAGGACTTTTTTTATTTTATTTTAAACCCTCAAAAGAAAACATAGGACTCAATCGGTCCATTGACTACAAAACATATATAAAAGAAATTTTATGAATTAAGGAGGTCGATAGCTGTCAGGGTGCATGAAAAATGGGATAGATTAGGCAAGCGGAAAATATCGCCTGCTAAGCAAGTGGTTTACATGTTGTCCTCATCAGAGTCATCCTCCTCCTCCAACGAATCCTGTAAAGACCAAAATAGCATATGAGCCAAAACGATAAGGCAAATGAGACCTAGACCTTATTGATGTAGGGCTTACTTTAGCATATTTCTCAGCCTCTTCTTTGATATCCTTAGGGACCAGCTCATGTCTGCCTTTCGTGACTGAAAGGAAGGATAAAGATATTAATGCACTTTAAACAGATGACTTAATGAGATGCATCTCGTTTAACTGGTCATTAAAAAAAAGGGGGGGGGGACAACTTACTTTCTCCAACCCAGCTGAGCTCCAACTCAAAGGCTTTGTCTTTCACTTCATCATGTACAATGTAGATGCTGAGATGCAAGGAGGGGAAAAAGAAAAACACATTTATTTGAGCATGTGCATATATAACACCAGGTCAGTGTTATCACGGTTATGATCTTGTATTTAAGGGTGTGTTTATACTTGTAGTTCAGTTCCCCTGATCCAGACCAAAGCAAAATATGACACACTGTCGCATTTTAGTTCTGGTTTGACATATTTAACATCGAACCAAAAGATGTAAACAGAGGAGTAAAAATGGTTCTCAGGATGCTGCTCACTGTGCACAGGATCATTAGCAGCTGAAACTGGAGAAGAGAATCCCTGTTCTGTTTAGACATGGCATTAAAATCCATCCTGTATCTGGATGTTGTCTGTATACACATTTAAAAGTCATGTGTAACCTCGTCTGTGATCAGAATGTGTTCTGGTCTAGCTGCGGCTGCGGGATCTGTGTGCATGTAAACGCAACATGGCTAGCTTGACCACATTCGTGGTCTAACCTCACGTACGCTCCACCCAAAACTTTCAAAATTCTTCCTGCCACTCTCGTTAAATAAGTTATTTTGCGCATCTCAATGTGTATTTAAATGCAACTGAAACTTGAAAAGCCATTTGCTGCATGTGAAACTTGAAAAGCCATTTGCTGCATGTGAAGTACAATATACAACTGACCCAACACCCCCAGCTCTGATTTTAAGCCGTGTTTTTCCTTTTGAGGGAGCTTCAGTTGCCACTGCTAAGCACAATTTTTACAACCCGCCATCTTTTTTTTGTTCTTTATAACTTAAAATGCCAGGAAAGCTGTGCAAACTACAAAATGTGTTATAATACAATAAACAGAGCATGGTCTATATAGGCTATGCCTACTCTGCTCCAGCGTGGCACTAGCATGATTTAAAAATTTAGATATTATGCTGAGAAATGAGATTCAATCAATATCTAGATGCAGGAGCTACATTTGAAAAGCACTAGTGTAAACGTGCTGTCTTGATTGGTTAATGATATGATCACCACGACTGGATCACGACAATAAGATGTTATTGCCAAGTGTAACCAGGGCCAGAGAGCACTGCGACCTTTAAAGAATGTGACTCAGCATAAAATACAGTATACCATTATACCACATGCCAATCATTTCTTGAATTTAAAAACAGGTTTGTTTCAAATCGTATGATCGTGAGCACGCACCAACCACGCATACAGTCCTTAAAGTGGAAATCTTTATTCATCTTTTGTTTATCCAACTATACCACCACTATGATCTTGATCATTTCTATCAATGCCTCTAAGGGATCTGCTAACAGTGTACGTTAACTTTACTCACTGGGTTTAATACTGCCATTCTGAAGCTACCCTTGCTGTGATTTTACACATCCCAGCAGCATGGGAACATAACACGTGATCAGAAGTCAACAGCATAGTGGGACCTTCTGACACCACGTCTGATATCCACATCTAAAATTAATATTGCAGTGTACCAAATACCAGCACATGTCTGGTCATGAGCTTATGCTCATCAAATAACAATGGCCATTCTAAACATTCTGCAAAGGTCAAAATAAGCAGCAACTTATTTAGTTATTATAACACCCACATAGTCTACAACTGGAAGAAGAAATTTGCCCATCAGCTCATGATTTCATGGGGAGGCTAGCTGAGTACTTAAATTATGCTGTTAGTGTTTGGGATGTTGAACCAAACAGGAGTGCCCCATCCAGGGTTTTCTGCTAGTACAACCTTTTTGCAGCCTAACAGGTCTGCAAATATTCTCTAGATGGCCAGGGTCTGCTTGCATTAGACTTTACAATTTTGCTACTCAAAACCACATTTTGACTAAATGTTATGATGGCGCCATGCTTAAAAACACGTGTCATCTGTGCAAATCAGTATCCATGATTTTATAATCATGGGTTATGATTGAGTTATGATTTTATAATCGTAACTCAAACTTTTCTCTTAACTCATTTTGACTTCAGGCCAGAAAACCCTGAACACTGTACTCCATCTCAATAATTCTCAGTTGATTTTTCTGCTGTAACACATCTGATGCAACTCATCTACAAGCCACTAAGCAAGCAAGTTAAATCAAGTGTGGACACCAATGCAACGATCCACTAAGACACTTGAGAAGCAAGATGAACTGCCACCAGCATGTGTAGCAGCCAAACAAAATTCACTGTTCCACTTACATTTTTGCAACCTCCTTCACCAGCTCTCTGCACGTCATTTCTTTCATCTGTTGAAATAAAGAGGGCATTAATGATGAGGAGGTTGATAAGGGGCTATCATATGTACAAAAAACAACTACTTTACTGAATATGCAATTTTCACAAGAACCAGAGTCCAAAGGCATGACTACGCATTTAACATTTTCCCCAATCATCCCCAGCCCCATTCAACTAATTTAATCAGTGCAAATACAGCACCAGGTGCATTTAACATTATACACATGATTATGCATCACGTTCACAAAAGACAAATAACCTGAACAGTAATAACATATTTTATCAAGGATTTGCTCTCCAAGACAGTTGCAACCAAAAGGGTTTAAAACCCCTAGATGGGTGTGGAGGAAGTTAAACAATAAAGCTAGAAAGACAAGAACTTAGACAAGTAGTTGTGAACAAACACAAACACTGGAATCCCACCTGAAGTTTCTCAATCTCTGTCTTTGCGGCTTGCTTGGCTTTTCCAATGGCACAGCCCCAGTAACCCTAAAAAAAGCAAATACTAATGTTTGTACTAAGATTTACTCAATGACTCAATGCACGAGTGACTGAAAATTAATCAGACTATCACCAGTGAGCTCTTACATATGAAATTCCTGAAGGGTCAACCATGTAGAGCTGAGGACCATCATCTTCATCATAAGATCCGAGAATGAAACTGGAGACAGAGATATCATTTGACACACAATTACATGCTTGTCAGACTATTAACAATTTAAAGGGAAAAAGGTATTAAAGAGCCAATCTCATGGAAAAACAAATTTCCATTGCTTTTTTTAATAAAGGAACTTGAAGTAATATGTCAACAGTGTCAGTGTTTCAAAATGTACCATTCACTACCCAGAACCAATTCAATTACATATTTCCATCTATTTCAGCCTACAGAAATTTTGCTCTTCTCATTCATATTGAAGCTCTAGGGAGTGTTTCAGCTCTGAGTGCTTTCTAAAAAAGGTACAATACAGTGAAGCCAATCAGAACACAGCTCAGTTATATCAGCCTTAAAGGCATAGTAACAAAAACAGCCTGTTTAATTCTAAACGATAAAGAGGGGTGGGAAAAGAGTCATGTAAACATGAATTATGACTATGGTTTATGTACTGAAAATTATTAACATAAGAATTAAACAGACTTTTTTTTTTTTACTGTGCCTTTAAGGCTAAAAAAAGATAAATGAGCTCTGTTCTGATTGACCGATCTGTATTGTTTTTTCCTCAAACTAAAAAATATGAGACACATAATATGGGCCCTTCAATAGGTTCAGAAATAATTACTCTTCTATTATTAATTGATAACTATTTAGTTCTAATTGATTGTGTAGCGCATCGTGACACATGTAATGATTTTGTTTTCTCAAAAAAGCTTGAAATGTACACCGATCAGGCATAACATCATGACCACCTTCTTGTTTGTACGCTCATTGTCCATTTTATCAGCTCCACTTACTATATAGGTGAACTTTGTAGTTCTACAATTACAGACTGTAGTCCATCTGTTTCTCTGCATACTTTGTTAGCCCCCTTTTACCCTGTTCTTCAGTGGTCAGGACCCCCATGGACCCTCACAGAGCAGGCAGTATTTGGGTGGTGGATCATTCTCAGCACTGCATTAACACTGACGTGGTGGTGGTGTGTTAGTGTGTGTTGCACTGGTCTGAGTGGATCAGACACAGCAGTGCTGCTGGAGATTTTAAACACCTCAGTGTCACTGCTGGACTGAGAATAGTCCACCAACCAAAAATATCCAGCAAACAGCATCCTGTGGGCAGCATCCTGTGACCACTGATGAAGGACTAGAGGATGACCAACACAAACTGTGCAGCAGCAGATGAGCTACTGTCTCTGACTTTACATCTACAAGGTGGACTGACAAGGTAGGAGTGTCTAATAGAGTGAACAGTGAGTGGACACTGTTTAAAACCTCCAACATCACTGAGTCTGATCCACTCGTCAGTGTCACTGCAGTGCTGAGAATGATCCACCACCCAAATAGTACCTGCTCTGTGAGGGTCCATGGGGGTCCTGACCACTGAAGAACAGGGTAAAAGGGGGCTAAAAAAAGTGTGCAGAGAAACAGATGGACTACAGTCTTTAATTGAAGAACTACAAAGTGCACCTATATAGTAAGTGGAGCTGATAAAATGGACAATGAGTGTAGAAACAAGGAGGTGGTCATAATGTTATGCCTGATTGGTGATTTATCTCTATGAAAAAATGACTCTGACTTACCTGCATCCAAAAGGCCGTACTGCACTGTACAACGTGTAGGCATGGACGTACATGGCGACTCTGTCTGCCAGATGCTGTTCATGAAACGAGAGAAAAATTATGAGGAAATTTAAAAACTTTTTTTTTTTTTAAATAATAAAAAGACTAAAAATTTTATCAGAGGTTTCTCATTAAGCTCACTAAGAAAAGTTCCATTTCTGTTTGTATGGGAAGCTGGAATAATTAAATAAATTTGACAGCAATATGCAGGTTATATAATACTGTTGTCTTAAGCCCCTTTCACCTAGGAATTCATTGGTAATTAATCGAGAATCAGCAACGCAGAATTAAAACTCATGAGAAGCTGAACATGGCATAACCGTAGTACAAGTTCCAGAAAATTATCAGGAGGGCTCATGTATGAGCAGAAGCTGGTAAACAGCAGGGAGCACACTTTTTTGAGGCATGTGATTTAAAACATTACCACAGCTAAGAAAAAAACAGGAGGAAAACCTAACATCAACAAAGAGCAGTGCAGCATGTCTGGGAAATGGAGAGATTCAGAAATGGAGGTGAGGAAGATGAAATTCTTCATCATGTGAATAGCAGAGCAAGATGTGGGGGTTTATGAGCAAAATCACCAGCAGACTCTAAGAATACAGCATAAGCAGAGAGAAGACACAGGTAAAGTGTTTGAAATTTAAATTTATATCCATTGTATAAAGATATCAATCTCTAGAGACCGAAAGCCTTATACTCACAGCCACTAAACTGAATAGAACATTTCTACCATTAAAATCACTAGCAACAAGCAATTTATTCAGTTTTGGCTTTTGATTTATATTCCTCTCGTAATCATACTGATTACTTAAACTGAACAGTCTCTCACACAGTTAAAGACAATGTGATGAACTAACAGAAAAAAAGTGCCTGATGATGCAATATCACTTGCAAGGTGAACTTGAGGAGTAAATGTACTTTTGCTAATGCTTTTTAAAGTAAGTTACACTCCAGACACGTCAACTGTAACATTTTCCTACAATCAGATCAAACAATGATCTGATTATTACAGAACAACAGTTCATTTCTGGTGGGTGACATGCTGATGTCTTGCCTCGTTTCTCACAAGGCGATATCTATTTTATACGTGTAAAGCACACACAGGACAAAGATATTTCACATAAATGAATATACCTATGCTTATACCCCACCAAGCACCGTCAAATTACTTTTTAAGCTAGTGACAAAAAAAAACAAAACAAAGTGAAAATAAAATCAAGGCACAAAATAATTATTGGCCAGAGTTTATGGGGAACCTGTATTAGACTAGATTTCCCATATCCCAGCCTTACACAGCCAAAATATATCCAAAATTGTGACAACAGTGTATTTTATATGAGTCAATTGTATTTGTTGACACTTATGATTGAATGTAGGATTTGTTTTATATCACATCTGGTATAACAGGACTTTCACAGTAACACAGAATGCGTGCATCCCAGAAAAATACTGTTTGAGGACTGAATGATACAAAGCCTGAACACTAACAGTAAAGGTATGCTAATAATGTGGAAGATTTTAGTGTGAAAATACAACAACTCACGTTACCACTTCTGTGACAAGCAGTATGATACTTTAAGTCAGCGATATTTCTGCTGTGACTAATTGATCATCTATATATTTCCAGCACTATAAATAAGTAAAACATGTGCTCTGACACATTTTATCCCCTGTACTGAATATATGAAGACAAAGATTTTCCATCTTACCTTCAGAGGGATGTCATGGCCATAGTTGGAGCGGAAGTTGGAGGCCTCTTCCCTTGCCACCTCAGAGAGAGATCTGGCATCTGCGAGAAGCCCTGCCACAGCCTGAAGGACAGAGAAAGACGCTCCTTGCTCAATGTTCATATCAACTCAAACAGTGAAGTGACTTTACATGCCCAAATTCTCCTCCTTCAGCGAAGCACTAATTTATCACAATATGCAAAAGCCAAAATGCAATTTTTGATTACATAGCTGCAATCCCTCTGAATTTGAACCATCTCTGCTTTGTTGCGTTATGTAATATCCTACAGCATAGCACTGCATCCCTCATCCTCATTGCCTTTTAAAAAATATATTTTTTTTAATCCTTTTGTGGTTGTGTTCATCAACATTCTCTCACTACAACACCCAACATGCATTACACAAACACATCATACATTCATTGTGAATCGTCCTGCTACAATGATATCTACTGATGTATCAGTGATATTGAGACAAAAAATTTAGAAGTGATATTAAGCCTCCTAGCACTAACACTAGCTCTCCTTCTGCATTAGCCAGTTATCAGCTTAAAAAAAAAAGAAAAACAGCCCATCTTCATGTATTCACCCCAAATAACTTATAGTTTTTCAAATGTTCCTCCCACCTTCAAGTTACATCATCAGAGGAGAGTTTTCCCCGTTTTTTTTAGCTGGAAATTCTCACTCTCAAGACCAGCGTAGGTGAGTAGACATATTGGTACATGTAAATGATTAAATTTCTTATATTGGCCAGAGCGCCCCTTTGAATAATTTATTTCAGAATAAACACCGCACCAAGCACATTTTACATCATGAACACCATACATACCATTCCAACATGACGATCAATATTGAAGATGCGCTTGTTGGAACCTTCCTCGTAGAGTTTAGACAAGACCAGCTTCTCTACACCAAACACTATTCCATCTTTGCAGCGGATCCCAATTGCTGTGCTGCAAGTATAAACAATCATCCATCAATATGTTTTCAGATTTAGGAGCAACAGCTTATAACAAAGTTTAATCAGGTTGGCCATTCTGCATCTGTATTAAGGCATGGACAGTGGTTACGGCAGGCAAGTCTGTAATGAAGTGCGACACTCACCTGCTGTTTTCCACCGCTTTCATGGCATACTCAACTTGAAATACCCTGCCATCCGGTGAAAAAGTGGAGGCAGACAAGTCATACTGGATTGGAATAAAAACAACAAACAAGTATGGTGTTCAATATTGTTTTGAGAACAGGCCTAGGTGATGAGACAGTCAAGGTACTTTCTTTACTATATATCTGAGGATAAATTTTTAGTTTATGTTTATTACTGATGTGTTATAATTGCATGTTCACATAATGTATTTTAGTTTAAGGTTAAAACTTTCACTCGTCTTTAAAATACATTACTTTCACTTTTGTTAGCTACCTAGCTAACTTTAAGTGTCTTGTCATTGGAGCCAAGTGCAGTAACGTTAGCTCGTCATTCATTGTTAGCCAGCGGTGACTCAGCAGAGGCATAAATGAAAATAAAATGCAGAGTTTAGGAGCCACGATTAAAGAAGAATAATAAAGGATTCTCAAAGGTACTACTTAATAAATTCGACCGGATTCACTTAAAACATTATAAACTTTTGAACTCAGCTGTCTAGGAGCTGAGAAGTAGCTCCCGGCTAGTGCTGCTCGGTAACTTGGTGTCATAGCGAGATAACCTAGCCACAAGAACGGCATGCCAAAACATTAGTTAAAGGGCTTAAACTCGAGCTATGTTCAAGAATGAATTAACACAAACACAAAGACTTTCACTTATTTCACTTACCCCGGTCCCGATAGAGCTCATTATGTTTTACAGCGAGAACCTCTAAATGGTCAGAAGAGCTTGGTTAGCTAACCACTGCATTGGCGTTAGCGGCAAAGCTATTGCATCCCCGTCACTCCGCATTAAGGAACTCGCTGATTGGGCGCAGTGTTGTCCAATCACGGTGCAGTACAGGAGTGCGTATGATAATGTGAAGCTTCTCTAGTAAGGCCGTTGAAGCTTCATAATACGAGTCTCTGCTGAAAATGGCCCTATGAGTCTGCTTAAAAAAGGAAACGTATTCTGTAAGTCTTTACATTCTAAAACTAAGCAAATGTAATAACAACAAAAAATAGTACTGTCTGAATGTACTGAATATAATATATAAAATAAATAGTGAAAATATAGTGATATGCACTCAGTGGTAAGCAAGCAGCGTATATTGTCACCATTGGAACAAAACATTTGTTTATTTGATTTATTTGACATACTTTGAAAATATTCCATGTCTGTTACACTGTGCTCTCTTAAAAGCAGTTCTCTTGTCATGCTTTTTGCAATTAAGTCTTGTAGTAATTTAAATATTATAAACTACATTAAAATGTACTTTTTGATGTTTTGTTCAATATTTCAATCATTCAAATGAACAAGAAGCAAATGAAATGATAATATACTAAGTAACTATGTATTTACACTCTATTTTGCCAAGTTGTCTGCCTTAAGATTTGATCACCACTTTTAAAATTTGACGGATTCTAAGCATTAATTGTATTATAACTGAATCATTAATGTTGCCCAGCTTTCTCAGTCAATTTAGAATCTTCTACAGCTCCATTCATCATTGTGGGCACGTCTTACATGTCTTCATTTTTATTTATAGCTTCTTTGGAGTCCTACGAATGATCTTAAACCTGTGAAGTTGCGCAGGATCAACATATTAGAATAGATTTGTACACTTGTCTGCAACCAAATCGGTTGAAATATTATTGAAAACATTGATTTCAAATTTAAGAGTACTAGTTTAACTACCTGTTGAACTTACTAAGTAGGCCGTTTTTCCTAATATTGATGATGCACTTACATGTCAGCCATGTTGTAACATATACCCTGTGTTCATTGGCACATAGTTTACATCAAAGACACAAACAACAGTGATTCATAAATGGAATGTAAGTTTTTATTACATACAAATCAAAAGGAGATATTCAGAAGCACATACTTTTCACTTGAAACCAAGCCTTATTCATTCACCAGACTCAGTTCAGAGATAGAAAGTCAAACCAGATAAAAAAAAAAATGACAGTTAATTACAACTGTCAGTTGCAGCACAACACACTAGAACAGACAATAGATATGTATACTTTCAACCAATTATGGTTCATTGGGATGCTACAATTCATTCATAAACCTCTTAATCATTTATTGTGCATTCTTTCAAATTCATCTCAGTCTAAATATGTATAGAAGTATACATATAACTCACAAAAAGTAATAAAACTAAAACTTCCATTTTAAATCATGCAATACAAATACGCCTTCTCCTAAACCCACTGTCGAGTCATTATCAGGCTCAACTCTCCATCTCATCTTAATAGGCTGGAACAAACAGCGTCAGCATGACAGCTGCTTTCCGGCTCTGTAGCAGCCCATTCGCTTCTAACTGAGTAAAGTGACGTGGACCCTAAATATCCGAGCTCAACTAATCCCTGAGGCACATCTTTTTGCCAGCTGCTGAGTGTCTGAGCACACTCCCGATAGCTCTCACACGATGGCACATCTCCAATAACTACCACCACTCAGTTGCGCCCCATTCAAGGAGGGTAACAACAAAACACGCCCCCACTCAGATTTCTCAGAAACAGGCCTACTGTAGATACATCAATCAAAACAGCTTTCAACTGACATGGTAGACATCAAGTATGTGGCATATTCTTCCATAGGCACAGGAGGTAGGTATGGGGTTAGTCCTGCAGTTCATGAGCAGAGAGAGTGAGACCATGGGGATGAGAACCCAGAACCCAGGTATGCAGATCACAACATACATGGTTTGCAACAGATCACCAGAACTATGCTACTCTTTGCTTGAGTTTTTGGTGTCCCCTGCTGGCATCTTTGGTCTGACCAAAGAATTTCATTACAACTTCCTCTTTCACAAGCATTCAAGCATCTAGATTTAAACGCAAGAAGATGAGCGGTTTCGTTGTCATATTTCATTCTAAAAAGCCCAAAACTCAAGAAACGCAAGAGTACAGTCTAACCAGAAAGAAGGCAGAAAAGATCGAGCTACTGTTAGTCTTAAAACGCATTCCCTTTTACGCAATCAGAAATTAACATGCTGTTTCCTATCATGGATTAGTAGGAAAGCTTAAAAAAAAGGAAAGAATAAAAGAGAAGAACATCAGAATAAGGATATTCTGCTAGACATCGAAACATTTCAGTCATTCTGATAGTCAATCAGACTAGATTTGGGTATGGTTTCAAGCATTTTGGTGAGCGGTTAATAAGAGATGACTGGCCCCTGAAGTGTGCAAATGATATGAAAACAGGGTTAAAACACATATGAAAGTACAGTTGCATGCAAAGCATATTAAAAAAAAAAAAAAGTCAAATTATGTGTTTTTTAAACAAGTTAAAATAACACATCCTCTACAGGTAACAAACTTAAGTTTGTTAAATACTGCAATTTTTAGAGCACAATTTCTACATTAATTGTTGAATTAAACAAAAATTCAAAAGAAGTTTAACAAAAGAATGTGCCATAACTTTTGCAGAGGCCACATTTTATGTTATAGCTTTTTCCAATATGTTAAACAGAGCATAAAACATTAATTGTGCATTAAAAGTTGCAGAAATGTGTTCTCTGGACATGTTTACTTATTTTTCACTTAGAAAATCAACAAAACTTTCTGGCTGGGGCGCACAAACTTTTGCATACAACTGTATATGAATCACAGAACAAAAAACACAAAGAAAAGCTATTATTTCTGGACCCAATGTTGGGGTGAATGTTGATTTGTAAGACTGTAGCTAAAACAAAAAAAAGTCTTCATATGATATGGGATGTTCAGACAGCAAGACTAGTTCTCTCCAGTTCAGTTCAGTTTCAGCATTGTTTTATAAGACAGCTTTCTTCTTCGATTAAATCTGCAGCACGAGGCCAGCAGCAGAGATGTTGTCTCCTCCTCCTGCAGTCTGATAGACTTCAGTGCACACGAGCACCGGAGCTACACAGATTTCATAGTCGTCTTCAGTCCAGCAGGAGACGGGCCGAGACTCCTGCAATGGAATCCTCTGGCTTCCCTCCCGTCTGCTGACAGAGAAAGACTCGTCCATGATCAACCTCGCTTTGCTGGTGTCAATGTCCGCGGAACCGCACACGTGGCGGTTGGCTGTGAGCGAGGCTTTGGCCACGGCCGACATCGTGTTCTTCCACTGGGAGCCGTGAGTGACAATCATGGCTTGGAAGGCAAGTGTGTGGACATGCAGTCTGGTCAGGGGACGGCCGGTTGCGGCTTCTTTGTGCCGCTGGTTGACCAAGCGGTAGAGCTCGCGCATCTGGTCCAGCACGGTGGCTACACGAGGGTTGGGGTCAGACAGTACAGTCAAGTTACTGCCGCGGAACAGGCTGAGGAGGTTGGGCAGCTCCTGCTCATTCATGCCCAAAGAGTCAGCGTGCGGCAGCACAAACTCCAGAAGGTCTGACATCAGGCCCTCGTCCACGAAGCTGGCCATTTCAAAGTGGACACTGGTCTGAGGGGAGGCTGAGGAAAGGATCCATGCCAGGCGACTCAACAGAGCCTCACGTTCTCCTAGAACAGAGACAGTCATCAGAACCGGACCCCAATAAAACATGCTCATATTGTAATCTGCACAGGAAGAACTGGGAAAGAGACACACATGACATCAAACAAACTACTAACAGTTGCAATGTGAAATTACATTAGCAGGCTAAAGTTTGGGCACCCCTGGTCAAATCATATATTTGCAATTTAATTAGTGTTTATTTTACTGAATTCACATGTTGGAAAAATAAAACATAAAATGTGGCCAGTGCAAAAGTCATGGCAGCTTTGGTGTTTCGTTTTCTTTTTTTTCTAATACACACACACACACACACACACACACATACACACCATCAAAACCGCTTATGTGTGCACTAAAATATGAAGAAAAAGTGCCATATTTCAGTTCCTTGTAGAGGATGTGTTAACTAATTTTTATTTTAAAAAATAATAATAATCAAAACATTCAATTTGTAGTATTTAACCTTTGCATATGACTATACAAGCATTAAGGTATTTACAATGACGTGCCAAAAACCATGGGATTTCATAATGTAGCGCTACCTCAGGGGACGGCTTGGGAACCCACACCTGTATAAGTTGTGAGGTGTTATCTTGTGAGTGAGGCTGAACACTGGTGCTCATGCCAAGGCAACTTGCATTAGTGGAGTTTGAATGAGGCATGGTAGTAGGTGCCAGATGGATGGGACATTCCATCTTCGAAGTTGTGAGAGCATTAAACATCCACAGTGTCACGTGTGTACCAGGAATACATCATAGAAGGCATTACCACCCACAGCGGACAGCGCCATGGCCACCCATGGGTGGCTAATGATCACGACCAGCAGTATCCGGCTAGAACTGTCCGTGCAAACGGACAAGTGACTCTGGCAGAAATCACATCTATATTCACCTACACTGAGACCCCACGCGCATATCCCGCAGGTCAGTGCAGCGTTATTTCGTTTCCAGGGGATACGGGAGCAGAAGACCCACCAGAGTGTCTGTCAACACAACACCAGACACAGCGCCTCACCTGGGCTTGTGAGGTTGCTAACTGGACCCTAGAGGACTGGCAACATATGTTCGATGATTCACAGTGCCAACTGTTTCGGGCTGATGGTAGGGTTTGTGTGTGGCACAGACCCCATGAAGCCATGGACCCCAGTTGTCAACAAGACACTGTGCAGGCTGGTGGTGGTGGTGTGGGGTGTGTTGTCATGGCATGGGTTGGGTTAGTGAGTGCTACGTTTCACTGCTTGGTGACCATTTGCAGCCCTTCATGGACTTCACGTCCCCTACACTGATGAGATATTCCAGCAGGATAATGCACCGTACCATAGGCCCAAGTTGTCCAGAATTTTTTGAGGAGCATTCTGGAGAGTTCACACAAAGGGTGTGGCCTGCACATTTGCCCGACATGAGCCCAATCCAGCATTTATGGGATGTGGTGGAGAGGTCTTTTCGCACTCAAGATACTGCACCTACAAATACCACAGAGCTGTGGGTGGCTATCCAGACGGCATGGCTCAACATCCCTAGAGCCGTCTTCCGTCCACTTGTGTAATCGATGCCACATTAATCTGCTGCACCTTGCCAGGCTACAGAGGGCCCTACACGACACTAGATTCTGACCCTTTGGCATGTCAGTGTATACTATAACAACTAATAATCCAATGATCTTTATGAGACACACTTTATTTTGATGGTCCACTATACAGTAGCTACAAATGCTTGAATTTTAACAAACCACCTGGTAAAACTCACCAGATTTAAGGATTAGGACTGAAGTTGGGATCAGGGTTAGGTTTTGGGTTGAGGTTAAAGTTAGTCTAAAATGAGTCTCAGGTTCAGGATTATTAAAGTTTGGTTGAATGTAATGGATATTTTATTGAATGTCCTTAAAGACAAGGTGAACATCTATTCACCTTGAATAGTGACGAACTAAAGTAGACTATCAAAATAAAATGCTACCTCTTTATGAAACACTGAAAAACCAACCCAGAGCATACACACACAAGCATACAGCCTTTAATTTTCTTTATGAAATGCACTTCCCATTGACCTGAGCACCAGTCTTGCTCAGCACCTCTCTGGATTTGCCATATAGCCTTGCTAAAAAACCCAAACACCAGCAATATGGCTAATGAGTGGACAGATAATCCTGTTTTTGCTGCAGAGCACATCAACAGTTAAGCGCAAACCAAACAGAAATGACTGAGTGTAATGAACCATCAGTGCTTTCCCATGGCGGCTGGAAACATTTTTCAAAAGGATTACTGAGGCAGTAAGAATAAACATCATGGCTACAATCTGTCAGTACATTACAACCCTGCTGATATATCACCCATCATCTCATCACTGTTCAGCTTCCTACTTTTAGGAAACTTTTATCAGAGATTCCAAAGGCACAAATGAATAATCTAGGAGTATTTCCGCTCCAACTAACCTTCAACAAAGTCATGGTCTCAACAGATTTCACTACTGAACAATGACTTTTCTGTTTTAACTGAGCATCTGAGAAAAATGAATATAGATAGATATATTTAAGTCTCTTGCAGTCTTCTTAAGCATCATGGTTATAGAAAGAGTTTGCCTAAATAAGTAAACCTAGTGTGCTTTTGTGGGGGCATTTTAAAACCATTAATTTTGACTAAACATTAATCATGATTAAAGATGTGCCGTTCTAACTGTTAATGCTGAAATAATTTTTAAAAAATTAAAATGATCTATTCCATTTTATGCTATAAGAGTGTATTAGTAAGGGTAATGTTTGTCTGTGGTTGACACTACCTTGCTTGAAAGGGAAGTTGTCCATCATCTGAAGGCCTCCCACCACCAGCAGGTCAGGCTTAAAGCTCTGCAGCCTCATCTCAAACTCCTCCATAGAGTCCAAGTAGGGGTTGTGGTCATCACTGTGGACAATGTACCTGAGGAGAAGAACAGGGGAATTCCAATTCCAATTCTCTCTACAAGTTTCTCTACAACGGTGCATTTCATATCAAGCCACTCTAAACACATTTGTTCGCATCATAACTGTTTAGTTATGCAGAATGTATCTTTAAAATCAGTGAAATTCTCCTTTAAATCCAATTACAGTCAAACTGTCTACATAGCTAAAATAAAGTAGAAGTAGACCTTGAAATCGACTTATTCTATTGAATTACCAGTAGGGATACTTTTAATAAAAATGTAATTTAATTAAAAAGCAAACATATACTTCTGAGGACTTTTCTGTCCTCATTTTTGGGCAGACCAGTGAGGAGACTTAAGGGAGTCTAACTCATTTAAACATTTGGTGTTAAAGCAATATTTTCCCTGTCTCTTGGTATTTTAGAATTTTATTAAAAAAAGATTTTTGAATGTGATAAAAGACATTAGTCACTCAACTTATACCAGAACAAATCCAGCTTAATGACAGACAGTTTGAATCACCAACACTGCACAACAAGCTATACCACAGGGCAGATGACAAATGCAAAGTAGACTTGTAATTTACATAACGTGATTTGCAAACAGCACTACCTGCATGAAGTTACATAACTGACTCATTTGTCTACAATAAAGCAAGCCATGTATAGCTATTATGTATTACTGGCATGTTACATTCCAAATAAATATCAGGATGTGATATGTTATCAGTGTGTAAGCAGGCAGAGTGGAATCTGACTGGTTTCATTCATGCAATACAATCCGAAAATGTGACTGACTGCATGAGAAGTCTAGTCTTGATCACTTACTCATCACTGTGTCACTATCACAGATTTATGGATTGGTCATCTCGATGAAAACTAACAAACTTTATCTCCACCTTCGAAAAGGACCTGAACTGGAAGCTGGTGGTGAAGTGGGTCAAGGCAAAACTGGCTATCTACCAATAATAAGGCCTAAAACCAAGCTCACCTGTTGGCCCTTCGGGATGTGTACTGCCCCCAGGTAGCCCCAGAGGGATACTCCAAGATCAAGTGGATATCTGGCTCCTCCACTGTGTTCCCTGCCACTACAAATAAATAAATAAATAAATAAATAAAAGTTACAAAAGAGATACACAGGTATAATAGAGTACCCACTAAAAAGAAAAGCATTATTATATAAATACACAGGCATAATAGAGTACAAGAACAGTTACACAGTTAGGTTAAGCAGAGTTTACAGGACAAGGCCAGAACTACTTGTAGTGTTTTCACTACAAGCAAAAAAAAGGCCTACTGACATTTCAACCAATGATGCAACTATAAGTTGAAATAATTTTAATTAACCAAATCAATCAGCTGTAAAAAATGAAAAGACAATCCACACATTTAAATCTGTTAAATGTCTGACCCGAAAAGCTGTGGAATGTAGACAATAAAAGCATTATATATACACATTATTACAGCATTATATTATCTGTTTTATATATATATATATATCTTTTCTAATAATATTGCAACACTCATTTGAAAATAGCTCAAAAATGTTACTTTTGCCAAAATAAACAGTGTATACTTTGTAGAATATTATTATGATCTATTCTAGCATTCTGAAATCAATGCAGTTAAACTGCCAACTTCATACTGATGCATAACAATGTTACAACCCATTTTTTGACCCCTTTAATTTAATTCTATTCCTTTAATCTGAGATAAAGAAGACAGTGAAGGCAGTATCCTACCTGTGATGTGCTGTGAGAGAACATCGTTGAAGTCTGGGCTGAAGCTGCCCCCCAAAAGCACATCACAGCCTTCACTGGCCATCCTGCCTGCCATTACTGGAGCATTACCCCCAACCGACCAGCGGTTTCCAGGCAACTCTCGAGAGGCCTCCACCAGCTGACTGAAGAGTGTGTCGTTCATCACAAACCTCCTGCGAGATAAGGAGAGTGGAGAACGGAAGAAGGCAATTAGTCATACTGCAAAACCAAAAGTAATGCAATGTGGACGTGAGCAATAGACCCTAAAAGGAAGCAAAGACAGAGCATGAAGATGTTTATCAACAAATCAGAAATAATTTTTGAATATGTTACTTATAGCATGTCTAACGCCTAAATCTTTAAATCAGTCAAAATTCTGAAATAAAGTTATTATTAATTTAACACAAGTCAAAATTTGAAGGAAAAAAGTCACTAATTTAGAAAAAAAAAAAAAAGAAAATTGGCCATTATTTTGAGAAAATATTTTTGAGGGCATCAATTATTATTTCGACATGATACATCAAAAATTTATTTAAGAAAATAAGTCATTTCAAGATTAGTAAGTCAAAATTTTGTCAAACTGCAGCTAGAAACTGACTTTTTTCTTCTCTACCTGGCAGGAGTTCTGTAGCATCCAGACTTAATGTTGCATGTAGGGCTTGAGTGTAAGATTTGGATTTATCACTCCGTATATACAATTACATTTTTTTCATATCTGAAATACAAACTTGACATTCATAGCAGAGCACTCTTGTTTCCCAGAGTGCAGTAAACACTCTCTGAATAATTTAAATGAGTCAGCTTCTAGGCCTATGTATAGCCTTCAGCGAAGGCTCATTTTACTACATTATGCATATTTCAAATTCTGGCAAGCCTCAACAAGAAAAACAACAGTAAGTGACACAATAGTCAGTCATTTTAAATTACAGCTGGTGAAAACCATGCATTAATGAGCTTGGCAAACATGAGATGCAACACTATGTCATTATATGTTATGCCATCGTAAGGCATTAATATGAGTTTTCTGCATACATTATGAATAGAAATTCAAAGTGATTTCTTAATAAATAGTAGTGTGCATAAACACATTCATAAACAAACTTGTCTTGACTTCAAGCTAATCTGAAGTGTTTTCTGTTGTCCTTGGAATGAAGCGATTGGTATGTGCACAGTCTTGAAATCTGAGTACTGTGGTATAAGCAAATGTATATATACACACTAGAAGAGCTCTGGTTAGTCCCTCCTCCATACATATCTCCAGCAGAGGCACACCTGAAACTCAGTTCACTGACCAACCTCCATAAATGTAGAAACATTTAATCAAATCCTGGTTTGAGTGAGCAAATGATTAACTCCACTCATTTCTGAGCTGAAGGTAAACACATTAGCGTAATCTTCCGTCTCTGTACTCCGGTCACTTACTCCGAGGCGGCTCCAGGTGCAAAGAAGTAGGCGAAACTCTGGGCCAGCTGCTCTGCGTTCTCAATGTAGTCGTGATGGAGTGGCTGATCAGTCGGCTGCAGTCCAATTTTGTTCAGTAATGTCACACCATCCACAATAATGTCCACACAGCCGCCAAAGCCTGATAAGCAGAGAAGTGTGAGATCACACATAGCTTCTTGTCATCGCTCAGAGTCTCCGACTGGTTTTGCCAGCTCCATTGTTTCAACTGTAGCCAATGTTTAGAAATGGAGTAGACCAGTAGTCACATCTAGCCATGTAAACAGTATCTGCATGTAATGTTTGTCAGTCCACTTTTACAACACATCATATCTAATCTCACAATTATGTAATTTTTAACCCGGGCCTGCCAGCAAAATGGTCACAGATCAGGCAGTATTTACCAATGCAGGAGAAGAAGAAGAGCAATAACAACATGCCAATATATGAGGTTACTTGGGGCCTATCATTTATCTGCCGTGACCAGATAAACTACGTGACCACGGTGAGGGCATTTACCCAAGAATATTTGAGAATATGCTAATATAACACACACACGCATCTCTAGTCTAGGGTTTATCTACTAGACTAGAGGTATCTCGGACTGAAATGGGGTGAAAATGTTTCATTGTCTCCCAAGACAACATCTTATAAACCTTTGTTACGCGCCTGCAGTGCCAAATCTCTGGACAGCTGGTTAAGTTCATTAGCACATACAAAGAACTGTGACTGATTCATCAGCAACAAAGACTGTGTCAGACTTTTTCATTAGATCTTATCCGCTGAATAATTACAGCAGAGCACACCAAGTAAATCTGTAGACACAGTACGTACATTATTTAAACACGTTGTAAAATGGACAGCCAGGAAAAGCCATGCAGGCAAAACACAGCAGGGCCTATGTAAAACAGACTGGGGAAGACTGCTGGCTGGCAGCATGCAAAATAATCCCTTTGGCCACCTGAACAGGTAAATTAAGACCATATGTGGCGGTTAAGTCTAAGAATTAGGGCACTCACAGCAGTACAAAGAACAGACATTTGAGACATATAACTGGCAAGACGCACTGACATGTAGCAATCTAATAAACGGTTATCGCACTTACAGAGACTTTATCATCTGAATGAGATGACGAAATTCATTCTTAAACAGCTTTGTTAGCTCACAGTTGTTGCAGCCCTACGACTGCTGTGTTAGAAATCATCTTTGAAGTAACACAGTGAGACTAATAACTCTGAATGAATGGAGCAGATAATGCTGTGTGTCTTACCTATGGCCACTCTCGGGCGGGCGACGTTGTTGATACCCACTTTCCTCTCAGCCCGGAGAAGAGAGGACAGCACGGCGTCCAGCCGTTCATCCAGCACGGACCGAGGAGTGCGGAGCCAGAACGCCAGCAGAACCGCGGCGAAAGACAGAACGGTCCCATATTTCAAACCAGAGCGCAGCTCAACGGCCATCGCAGACAGACTACACCTCACCTCAGCTCACCTCACCCCGCTCTCCGCCAGGCTTTAATGAAGTGATCCGGCTGAACACACACGATAGTAGAGCGAAGAGGAGGAGGAGACGGAGAGGGAGGGGGGACAACAAGCCGAATATGGACCCGTCACATCCGGTTCGAGATCTTTTACAGTGATCAAAATAAAAGCCGCCACGATCGCAGTTTTTTTTTATTTTAATCCAGTTTCCTGACATCATAAAATTTAATTTGAATAAGTGAAATGTCATTAGTATTATAAACGATGTCATGTAAAAAATCAAAATTCAACCTTTACAAGTATTTTTACTAGGACTATTATTTTTTAATGTAAGATCTCAGATCTTACTACTAAGGACAATTCATGGATGTGACGTGTTAAAATTCTAATCATTACTAGATACGTTCGAATTTGTGTTCTACTGGTGAATATGCTGTTTGCTACCAAAAAAATTTTACATGTCAGAATTTTACTTTTTGTGAGAAAAAAATCTACACCTCACAATTAAATGTACTACTGAGAAATCAATTCAAATATGTAATATTTAGAATTTTAACCTTATAAAATATTATTTGTAAAATATTCGATTTACAATTAGATTTAGGTTTCTACATATCAACATCTAGAGTTGGATCTTTACACGTCAAATTTCATGTTTTGTAGTACTTTTTTACTTTAAATTCAAGCATATTGATAACCCGTTATTCTCTCTCTAAGCAGTGTGGAGTTTACTTCGAACTGAACATTTTTACTCTCGTTGGAATCTTCCTTAAAATGTCTGAATGTAGAAGAAAACTATAACCTACAGGTGAGTGCGTATGCACATAAAGCCAGCTTGTTTCTGTCATTTTTAACAGCAAAAGCGAAACTGAAACCTTATTTTATCACACACACCTCAAACGTCATGCTGTCTGCACAGAACTTAATAAATGCAGTAAGATTTTTTTCTGTAGGGATTGTCAGAGTGCTGTGTGCACCTGCCGCATAATGTTAACTACAGGTATATAATAATAACTACAGGTTTGACTCTTTTGCGCTGATTCCACGATTTATTGATCCTTTTTACGATAATGTTTTCAACACAGTTATCTCGTTTGCAGAATACAATTTAAGCTCATATGTATTTTTGAAACATTTCCACTAGAGGGCACTGAAACACCCTCTTCACCCTGTGGGCCTCAGGGATAGCGGTGATGAAAAGGTGGGAGGTGTCTCAGGAGTGTCAGCCAAATAGTTTTTAAACAGATTAAAATAAGAGAACGGAAAAATAAAGAATTAGCTTAGTAATAATATATATATTATATATATTGGAAAATCGGATAAAATTAAATTCGAAGACACTATGTAAACAAGTTATAGACAGCCATCTGCAGCGTCTACAGTTAACCATCGCGCTAATAATGAAAATGCTCTGTTGATTGATGTCTTACAAAACATCGAGACATGCCCTTCGAGTTGTAGAAGAAATGTTCACCAGTTTCCATTTCTCCATCCTTCTTCACTCAGTCGGTGTCAAAGTTTCCCATAATTGATTTCTTTATCGTTTAAGGCAATTTAAGCCCCCTTTTTTGCAAGGCATCGTAATGAAACTGCAATGCTAGACTTCACCAGACCTTTCCAGCTAATCCGGAATATCAGGTGGTTTGGTGTTTAGCATTCTGCCCTTACAGCTAACTGCCAAAAAGAAAGTATTTCAACAAAAGTTGTTATTGTATTAAGTCATTGCTAAAACACCATATTCAGGGCCCTGCTTTAAAATCCTTTCTATAATGATTTTTACACACACACACACACACACACACACACACACACACACACATAAATACATACATATATATACGTAATGAAATGTACATAAAAATGTCCAGTGAGAACAGTGAAAAAAGACTGCTAGGGATTCAAATAATTAACAATCAAATAGAAAGTTTTTAAAACGAAAAATATTTAGGAGTCTTTAGTGCTTTAGTATTGGTTGAGGCAGAAATACTATGTAGATATTGTTACATTTCTTGTTCAAAAAGAAAAAAGAGGTCACTTGTCCTTTTCTAAAATGATGGCAGGGATAGTTTCCAGTGCCTCCTATTTAAAACAGTCACTGAATCACTTGTTTAGCGTGTGCCATTTACATCTCAGATCAAACAATCTCAACGTAAATGAAGACAGCATGGGATTTTCCGATGAGCATGCATAATCTAAGACAGTGGGTTTCACTGCCATCAACTTAAAACAGCAACTGATAAAACCACAGAGCAGACTGCACGTCACAAACTGTACTGGAAGCTGTTCTGTTTACAAAAACTCACAGACAACTTCTAATATGAATTGTGATAGAAATGAATAACATTCGGGAATAGTTTTTGTGAGTGTCCAACTTGAAAGGGCTAAAGGACTTGAACCACACTAAGGCTAGGGCGGGTGCATTGATATTCTGATTCTTCTGTGTGTGTGTGTGTGTGTGTGTGTGTGTGTGTGTATGTGTACTGGTAGACCACCATAACTGTCAGCTTCAGGTAAACAGTACTTAAAGCTTTCATCCTACTAAAGCCTGAGTAGACTGATAAATCAATGTGATGATCAGTTATTAATCTCAGTGTTACTGAGCTCTGCTAAAGCCTGAGTAGACTGATAAATCAATGTAATGATCAGTTATTAATCTCAGTGTTACTGAGCTCTGCTAAAGCCTGAGTAGACTGATAAATCAATGTGATGATCAGTTATTAATCTCAGTTTTACTGAGCTCTTTTGAGGGATGATCAAACTAACGATGTCCTCGGTAGTGGGCGTGTTTGCGAGTGACTCCTGCTCAAGGGGATTATAGGGGGAGAATAGCAGTGGACCGAAGCAGGGCGTATGAAAAAAGTTAAGTTTTTTTAAAAATGTTTAGGGATTTTTTAATTGAAATGTATCAGAATAATTACATGAAGAAAACTGCCAAGCAGTAACAGCAATGACCAGTATGAATTAACTTTAAAAAGTTTTTCCCATCTGCCTTACCGAGATGTAACGTTCTCTAATTGTTTTTCTCTAAAGTTTTCTGAATATGTTACTTTTTATGTATTGTAATTGAACACATTACTGAATACACTCAATACAGTGTATTCAGTTTTCACCCATCAGTACTTTTTCAAGTATTTTGCCCAACACTGCCTACACCACACACCACACACCACACAACACTAACTATGTCCTGCCAGAACCGAGGTACATGTGTACTAAAACTTTCTCACACCATCTATTTGAAGGCTGAGCTGTCTGAAAGCTCGTTGAGTGAGAGCAGACTGGTGAAAGTGGTTAGGCCCCGCCTCTTCGTGAAAGAGAGAGAGAGAAGAATGAGAAACATTCCCCTCAGTGCCTCCGCTGCGAGTGGACAAGATGAAACCGAGCAGCCAAAAGAATAGCGTCGCAGCCAGGTCCATCACACCGACCAAAACTGCTGCCTGTTAAGCCCTCTGACTGCGAACTGCCGAACCGCAGTACTAAATCCGAACCGCCCGGTTCTCCTCGGGTCATTATCACTGTTTTTTTACTTTCACAGTGTCAGTGGGTGAAGTTTCTGTGTCGTTTCCCAGGTTAGCATAATCCCTAACACAGCGCGCTATTGTTGTAGGTGGACTGTTAGTAAGGTAGAGAGAGAGACGTGTTTGGAACCAACTGGGCCCTGAAAAAGGCTGAAAAGGCATCCGTGACTGAGGTAAGACCAACTTGAAGTGTTCATTTAAACCACGCTGACTTGGTGACTGTTGGGTGACTATAAACTAGGCTGAAGTCAGCTTCTTGTTCGAATTTGCCCGTTCCACCTTAAATGGTGCAGCAGTTACATTCTGGTGCCCGACGCGCCAAACTGTAACCGCTGTACCATTTAAGGTGGAACGGGCAAATTCGAAGAAGCAGCTGGCGAATTGGAAGCCAACTTCACCCTCCTTGACTATATTGAGGCGGGTGCATGACCGCCCGTGTGCAGTTTTCTCGTTTACTGTGTCTGCGCCATGAAAACACGGGACCCGGGGGGGGGGCGCAGTACGCTGTTTGGGGGTTAGCTGGGCACTTAGAGTCTCACTGTCCAAAAATCACTACTTGAAAGCCTGCAGTTTGCGAGTGGCAGAGCTGTGCATGAAAGCATTTTCGACATATTCGAGTGCCATAAGGAGAAAACGTGTTGTGTCTATGGTGTCTTCGAACGATAATAGAGTTAAAACAACACTGCAACACTGCCACAACAGGTTAGACTTGGCCAAGAATAATGGCAGACCTTGAATAGCTCGCCTGTGCCCTGCACTGAATTCTAAAGCCTTTTTAAGTGCACAGCCCAATGATCCACACTATCCACAGTGTTGAATGAATTACAACTGTGCTCATTTGAGTCCACATGGACTTAAAGAGATCATTCAGTCTGAAATCAAATGCACACGATTTCGTCTTCCACCTCAGACACGGTCGACTGACCAAAATATATTTGGTGCAAAAGTTTGCTTCTTTTGTTGTGCACTGTTACTACAAGGCCACTGTAGATTAATGGCATTGGGAGTCAGTGTAACCCAAATCTTTTTGGGTGACTGGCCTCTGAACATTCCTGAACATTAAGTATTCCTTTAAACTGAAGTCTTACAAGAGCAGCTTGTTTGTTAAATCGTCACTAGGAGTTTGTATTCAACACAGGGGAGTTTGCTGTGTGCTTAAGCTATGGATTTATTATAGATGTGGATTCCTTGTAGAGCCCACAATACCAGATCCAGTTCAGTGTCAAGTGTGAGGCGAGGGAAGAGTGTGGCATAGGTTTGTGTGTTTTATGCTGCCACAGTTAATTATTAATTAATAGATTAAACTCAATTACTCAGTTCTAGATTAATTCTGGATTCTGCATTTAGCATGCATTAAAATGACCTTATTAATGGTTCGACATTGATGAGATATTATGATGATGCATAGATTTAAGCAAGAAGCTATAAAAGATAGAGCCTGATAGACACATTTATATACAT